AAGACACTGAACATCAGCCAAGTTCGGCGAGGTGGGGTGAGCATCGATGAAAACTCACGAGCAGATGACACCATACCACCAAAGTTCCTCATGGCGGCGAAAGGGCTGGGTGTGGGAGTAGAAGGGGCCATGACGTTAAGATATTTAAAAAGAGAAATAAATCTCGAGGCGATGATTCAAGGTAACAAATCTGTTTTCTAGGTAAGAGAGATAGAAAGTTTTGAAAGCAGATGGGAAAAAGAGAGAAGCTCGACGAACTGCTCAGTATTTAGTATAATCAAACCTACCCCCTCGTCGTCAACATGCAGCAAACTTCGCGTTTCATCAACAAAAGGCATCGCAGGGACGATCAAAATTCCCACGCTATAGTGTCTCATCTCAATATAAGCGAGGGTTACTTCGACAAACAACGGTGTTGTTCGGCTGCCATTCAGGAAGCGTGTCTCACCTACAAAAGACACAGGGCTTCTTACGGCAAACCTCGACGAAGTTAGGGGAGTCTCATTGTCGGGTTTTTGAGTGAAAGGAGGCCCAACTACGAAGTGCGGCGCAAAGAGCAGAAGGGTGAAGGATGGTCATGGGGAGGGAGAGAATGGGGGTACTACGCTGCTAAGTTCTCTTGCCACGACAGAGGTGTAATCGCTCACGAGGACGTTCGCGGCTAAAGAAGGGGGCGACTGTCACGAACTACGTCGTGACACCTCGATTACTCCACCAACAATGACCCTCCTTTGGCCATCAAAACCCCATCACGCCTTAACCTCTTTACTCTACACGTAACTCAGGACTTCTGACACCAAGTACGGCGAAGTTAGACGGAGTTAGGCTAAGTAGGGACAATGGGAGCAGAAGTACGGCGAAGTTAGACGGAGTAAGGCCAAGTAGGGACAATGGGAGCAGAAGTACAGCGAAGTTAGACGGAGTTAGGCTAAGTAGGGACAATGGGAGCAGAAGTGCGGCAATGTTAGGCGGAGTTAGTCCAAGGAGGAAGAGGATGGCCGAGGGCTCGGGGAAGTTGGACGAAGTGCGTTGAAGTACGTCAAAGCGCGAGAGGGCGGCGATGTTAGGCGGAGTTAGGTGAACTAGGGACAGTGGGAGCAGAAGTGCGGCGATGTTAGGCGGAGTTAGGTGGACTAGGGATAATGGGAGCAGAAGTGCGGCGATGTTAGGCGGGGTTAGTCGAAGGACGGAGAAGGACGGCCGGGACTCGGGGAAGTTGGACGAAGTGCGTTGAAGTACGTCTAAGCGCGAGAGGGTTGGGTGAAGATCTAGGAGGAGTAAATAATATTAGCTGAGAAGATCGCTGAAGTTCTTCAGCGATCCTTGATTGTTGTCAGTAGTGAAAGATTGATAGAGATAGCTACATACAAATTAAGATACATCGCCATCAGAGAAAAACCCCAGTTAGAGTAACTACGGCGAAGTACGCCGTAGTTACACTCCTTTTGACGTCTGCGCCCTCCTGGTTGGGTGAGACATTGACTTAGAAGCGTCAAGTTAGCCGAGGTTCGTCGACCGTCGGTCTGTTAGAGAGAAGTGTTCGACGGCTGTGACACTTTTTTTGCTCTTCTACATACATTCTTCCTAGCTCAAATGAAAAGAGGTGTTTTCTGAGGCTTGTATGAACTTTTCTGCATGTGTAGCCTGTGACGAGACACTTGGTTTTCTGAATTGACCAGATGGTGTCCCAAATAACGCTGTTGGGGATCCAACGAGTAAGGATTCGGTAGGTTTTTCACAACAACGCTTGAATATCCCTGTTGGAGCATCCTCTCACATCTTAAATGTTCTATGTTCTTCCACGCTGATATACAGAAGAAATGGTTCTTACAGGCAACCTCAAGTACTAACTCTCGGCCGGATCTCGTCCAAGTCGTCATTGAGACGCAATTTCCCCTTTTGACCACACATAATCCTCTTCCTCCTTCCAACCACTGACCTATAATCCCTCAACTATCCCCATTGAACTCACCCCCGGTTGTCTCACCAAACCAATGCACCTACAATGGAGATCTTTTTGAGACTCTGACACTCGGCTCAGACGACAAGACTGGCGCGATGTATCCTTCATCGCAAGCGGCGGCCCCCTTACCTCTTCTCAAGATCTCCTCATCATGCCGTGTAGAATCACATTCTCACATTCCTACCTTTGATTTCAAGAACCGCATTTTCTGAAGGGACTTCAATACGATGACACCCCAATCCTACCTTTCATTTTTGAGAACAGCATTCTCCAGAGAAACTTCAACTGGACAACAATATGACGACACCCCCATTCTTTCCTTTGATCTGGAGAACAGCATTCACTGCAAGGACTTCAGTGAGTGGGGGAAATGACGACAAGCCCATGACAAGGGTCAGATAGCACAGCCTTGAAGACGAGGATATAAGGGGAGAGGAAGGGTGCCCACTCCTTCACCAGACACACATTCTTCGATCATCAGCAACACTCAGATCCACATCCTTCAAGCATCAATACCACTCAGACACACATTCTTCAATCATCAGTCAGTACCTCATACACAACTCACACAACACCTCCAGCAATATGAATGTCTTGCTAGGACAAGTTTCCAACAATTCAGGTGACTTCAAGGGCGACTTCAAGGGCGACTTTCAAAGCTTTGCCAGAGACCATAGCTTTGTGGTCAGGGTTCATTCTTTCTCACCGGTCCACTCTAGGCCGTATGGGGACGGGACTGCCCGGCTCTTCATCGATATAAAGCACAGGTTGGGAGATGACGCTCACACTGAAGACACGGTCGAGGCCTTCCGGAAAGTGTCAGAGTGGTTAGGAACACATTGGCCGATGAACGAACAAGCAACAGGTGAGTTTTTCAAGTGGATGGAAGAGACATTCGAGGATCTGTGCGAGAGAGCAGTGAGGAACCGACACACAAGGCTTGACTGGAACACCCAGGCTGGTGAGGCTAGTGCCAAGGGGATTGTCTATCAGACTGGCATGCGGGACATGGATCTCCGGCCGGGGGAATACAACTAAGTTGTTAGCCGATAGAATCGGGCCAGGACGGCCGAACCGCCGTTAAGAATTACCCCTTCCGTCGAATATTTCTCCGTTCAACTTATCCTCTTAACTTTATTCGATCGTCTCTGGTTTTATGCGTGTGAGTGGAATGTGATAAGTATAGAGACATGTAGAATTGATGCATGCCCTTTTTCCCCTCTGTATTATCATCTAATTATAAGCAAACAGATGAGCGTACCGGTCCCCTTCTGTCCACTTCATCCACGATCTTCCGGTTCTCTGAGATAGATTCGGTCTGTTCTTGTTTCCCATCCAGTACGGGTATTTGCCTGAACAAATGTGCATCATTTTTCTCTGATTCCATATTCGCTTCCAATGCGATAACATGAACCCCTTTGTCCCCGACGGACAGCCGGATCCTGCCAATATGTGAGCCCTCCTCGAAGGAAAAGTGTCTCCCTTTTCCCACGTTCTTCTCACCGCCAACGATGTTCTTGGTACAAGATCAAGTCGCCATCTCTGTCATCTCTGCTAACTATGACCGAGCATGGTAAGCGTTCTCTCGCTAGATACCAAGTCCGACCCGGGGTTACGGTCTCTGCTGAGCTAGAGCTTCAAACTCCTCATTTCGACGTCATCGCTTCCATTGAGGGTGGAGAGACGCACGGACACCGCCTTCAAGAGGTGGAAAATGGAGAGAATATCCTCTTTTCTCGAGAATCTAGCCCCGATATGAACCCAGACACTAGTCATCATCTCGGTCATACGTAATCATCCTTACATAATGAGAGGAGCGAGGAAGCGGAGAGGAAAAGAGTTGTTTCGACTTCCGATGACTTTTCCGTAACGACTTTGGCGAGGTTAAAAGGCGTCAACCTAGCAAGATTTGATTAGGCGTTGGACAATCACTATTTATCTTTGAGAAAACACCTCAACCACAGAGATACCGAAGAGTCATTTTTTGATCTTCTTGACCACTTTAGTCAGATACTCAACAGTATGAAACAATACCAAGCCGGAGGAGAAGAGGCGAAAGATATCGCACGAGATAGCGGTTCCGAAAGTAGCGACTCAGGAGATGACAATGACGCACGTCAGAGTACACCATGTGCCATGCCGGCAGGGAACAATCCGGAATATGGGCGGTTGCTAAAAGTTACAGGCCCATTGTCAAATCCAAGCCGATGGGATTTTCAGAGGGACGCTTTGGCAGGTGAAGGTCATATACGACTTACATTCGTTCCACCTCGAGGGTCCCAACTATTACCAATGTCAACTGGTCCAGGGACAATTGTAATATACGATGAGAACCAGTGGGAACGGGAGAGGATAGATGCAATTGGCCTCAGTAAGTATGAAGAGTCTCTGGAAGAGATCAAAACCAGCCTAGATGCTGCTCAGATCCTTTTGACAAGCTCAGATCTTCCAGTGCAACCGTTATTTCAAGCTGTTCCTTTGCCATTGGAATCGGCGGACAATTTCAATCACTGGAATGTGAGGTATCAATTTGTGAGTGTGAGCCGACGTGTCGCGAATGGACCCCTTACTGACAATCTTACCGCCATTCCAACTCTTGATGATTATCCTAGTGATATGTCCCTTACCAGTGTTAGAGGAATCTGCCTTTTGTTTGGTCCTAAAGATTTGCCTGGCGAAAGAAACATGGACAACCACCCCGAATCGATGGATGAGGAGACAGGGAGGAGCCAGTAAAGAACGAGCAGAGTTTATACCCTGTTTATTGATGTTTTGATGCTTGGGGATGGTACTTGAGCTGGGGAGTGAGGTCGGAGTAATCTCTGTTACGATTGCTCGTACAGTAGAGTACTCTACTCGTAGTATGTGTGATGTGACGTTGAGCGAAGAGATGTGCCACAATGCCACATTTATTAGAGGCCGTAACATTCGGAGAAAATATTCTACATTTCTTAACTCCGAAATCCGTAAGTGCCACACCGTCCCGCTCTCATCGGCGATTTCTCTATACTCTTTCCTTCCTCCCTCTGACTTTTCAAGCCGTCAAGCACCTTCACCACCTGGGTATCTCCTCAAGGTCAGTACTCTCTTCTGCCTTGTCTATCTATCTTCATTCACTCCACTCCCTAAACCTACCGTTCTCCTCGCTACGTCCATCTCTGCTTTCCTTTGGTATTTCTGTTGTCAAAACGGCGGAATGTGAGAATCTACTGATAATGCGTCACTTCCATATTTTCCTTCTTTCTGCCCGCAGTGATACCCTCTCCCAGCGCTCGAAAGCCTTTGCTACTCCCGCCGAATCACGCAGAGATTCTTCAAATCCAAGATGTGGGACTGACCATCAGATGGGTGCCTACAAATATCTCACCGAGCTCTACCACCGAAAACAATCCGACCTCCTCCAATTCGTCTCCCGTGTACGTTGTTGGGAATACCGTCAGCTCGCTATCATCCACAGAGCCTCTCGTCCGTCCCGTCCCGACAAAGCTCGTCGTTTGGGATACAAAGCCAAGCAGGGTTATGTCATTTACCGAGTCAGAGTCAGGAGGGGAAACAGGAAGAAGCCAGTACCCAAAGGTGCTACTTACGGTAAACCCGTAAGGCAGGGTGTGAACCATCTCAAGTTCCAGAGAGGTTTGAAATCTATTGCGGAGGAAAGGGTCGGAAGGAGGTGTGCCAATTTGAGAGTGTGAGTTTGATACATTTTCCTTTTTTTGCGGTGACGAGTGAGAATTCATCCACGGTTTACACCAAGCTTAGGATTGTTTACTTATGGACAGCCTCAACTCTTATTGGATCAATCAAGATGGTGTTTACAAATACTACGAAGTCATCCTCATCGAGTGAGTGATCTTAGATAGTGACTTGGTGAAGCTGACCCATAGCCCATCCCACAAGGCAATCCGCCGCGACGCTAGGGTGAACTGGATCTGCAACCCTGTTCACAAACATCGCGAATCTCGTGGTTTGACCAGTGAAGGGAAGAAGAACAGAGGTTTGGGTAAGGGAAGTAGGTACAACCATACTCCCGCGAGGGCTACTTGGAAAAAGCACAACACGTGAGTTAATTTTTGCGGACGGCTCATGATCCTTTCATCCTTACATGTCCTCGTTGGTGTCCTCTGAATTTCAAAATGCTGACCCTCAGTCTTTCTCTCCGCCGATACCGATAAACCTCTCGTCCTTTACATTCGCCCGTCGGAGCACGTCGAGGGATTGTATAGATACGTTTGGTCATGCATTCGTGATGACGTTGCTTGTCGGCTTGGCTGGGGACAATCCTCCATCCTAGAGTTCACTGCCCTCGCCCGCCTCGCACTGTGAATACTTGAGAGCCCCTCGTCCGGTATGATGCCTGTACAGTAGATGTACCGCCAATTCCAAGCAGTCGTCTTTGTCTTTTCCCTCGCTGTGTCGGGTGTTTCGGCTTTCGCCGCTCGGATCTCCCGGTGCAACCAACTCACACTTCTCTGCGTCATACAACCACCATCCGTCCATCACATTGTACTGTTCACATACTCTGTCTCCACTTTCAGCCCACACCTACATCCGCCTTCTCCCGTTCGATGAGCCTGCGCGAGATGTCGGGGAGCTGCTGAGAATCCAACAACTTAGATAGGTGGGTCCTTCAGCTTTCCCTTGTCCGTTTCGGCACCAACACCTTGGGTGACTGAGGTGTCTCCCCCTGTCAGTCGTGCGCATACACTCCGCCGTATGACCATCAGGGAGTGTGGATCGTGAGCAGGATGTGATATGTGCTGTCGGGTCAGTGTGAGATGCCCTCTTGTGCAGGAGGCTTCTGCCCGATGAAGGAACGGATCTTATCTCATCGAATCATCTGAGACACGCTGGGACATGTACTCATACTCGTCGGACACATCCAAACGGCGTCAGAGTCGCGCATTACATCCATGCAAAGTGTCAAAGCCATAGAGTGCAAGATGTATGAAGTATGATAGAGGAAAAGGGTTGACATGGAAATGAGGGCAACGAAGAAGAACGTGCTGATGAGTATAGATGGAAGATTTTCACATGTCCTTCTCAAAGAAGATAATCATCTTATGAGGTCTAGTAAGTTACACTTACCCTCACACACCCTTCTATCCATTCACATATCTACTTTTCTGGGGAGGAACACCTTCTAGGTTGCCCGAGTGTCTATTCGTCTCACCGACCGCCAAATTTCTCATCAAATAGCTACTTTTGACCCACGCAATTCTCATGCGAACATGTCACACAATCGATATTGACTTACTAGAAACCCATATTCAATCATCATGACCAACCCCTCTTCCCCCTCCTCCTCCTCCTCATCATCTAAATCCCCATTTTACTCCCTTCAACCTCATTCAGAACATATCGACCCAACCCTCCAACCTTCCCCACTCGAACCTCCCGATCCACCTCCTCCTTCTCTCCGAGAACCTCCAGGTCCAGATCTTCTCCCTTCGCCTAGACCCACTTTAGCTCAGTTCAGAGCTTCAGAAGGTCCCGAAGCCAGAGCGGCAAAACTACGAGCATTATGGACTTCTTTACCTAATTTACCTCAACTCACAGATGGTCCTTCAGCTTTACAACGTATGAAATTACCTGGTCAAGATACCAGAACCGCACTTTCACCTCAAAGAGCAGAACGTTTGAAAAAGTTATACGAAGAAGAATTAGTAAGACGTGTAAGGGAAAATAGACCTAATGCTTTGTTATGGGGTGGAGCAGATGATATTAAACCAGAACCGGATAATGAAATTTATCATGAAAATTCACAAACACAAACACAAACACATTCACTCACAAAGTTCGGGATTGGAATCGGAAATGGAAGTGGAAGTGGAAGTGGGTCAAAAGGAAAAGGTATAAGTTGGGAAGGTTTTCGAAGATTTTTATGGGATCAAGAAAAAGAATTATGGGATATTTTTCAAGAACTTGATAAAAATGGTGATGGAAGATTAGATGCTCATGAAATGAGAGCCGCTTTGAGTAGATCAGGTATCGATATCACACAAACTACCGTGGATGATTTAGTCAGGTTTTTGGCAAGTGGTTCAGGTGTACATTATCATTCGAAGGGAATCGATAATGTTTCAAGTGGACAATATCAATCGAAACGATTTGAAAATGGGAAAAAAGGGAAAGATGGAAGAAATTCTCCAACGGTTGTGAACGGCGTTAATGGTGGTCCAGGAGGTTCAACTGTTCATACTCCGGAAGATATGTATATCACCTTTGCGGAATTCAGAGATTTTTTGATCATGTTACCTAGGAAAGCTACACCTTTTGAGATATACAAATGTAAGTTGGTCCTCTCTTTCCTTCCCCCTTCATCCTTATTTTCGCTCTGCTTCTTTCTACCTCCTTCCCTCTTCTGTCTCTCGCCTTTTCCCTCCTGATCCTCCCTCCCTTCCAACTTCATCCACTCTTGTTTGTCCTTCTGCTGTTTTAGTCTCCTTCCCATGCCAAACAAAGACACACCCAGGAAGCAAGTCATACCTCCCTCATCGGCTGATGCTTGAGTGAGCTGCATGCACTATTCTGCCAGACGGTGACAAGAGATGGATTTTGATTCGGTCTCATGGGCTCACGAACAGATTATCAAGTCAAAAAACGGTACTCAGACGGTAGAGGTGCGGCCAGAGTAGATAAAGAAGGTGATATGTCTGTATCATTTCCGAAACCTCAAGCGGAAAGTTTAGGTGCAGCCTCTGCCACTCTTTTCGGACATCCGAAAAAGGACGAAAATTCGGAGGGGTTGGAAGATGAGGTAGAAGAGGATTTTGGGGATGCCGAAGTACAAGAGGATAGACATGAAGCTTGGAGGTTTTTGTTAGCTGGTGGTGTGGCTGGTGCTGGTGAGTTTTTGGTTGATCTTTGTACTCTCCCTTTTGGTCATCCCGTCCCATCCCAGCCCATTCTATCCGGTTTTTTTTGCTATTGTCTTCACCGCGTTTGCCTTCATCTTCTATTCCACTTCAATCCTACTCCTGTATTTCCCTCCTATCGTATTCCCCTACTCCCCTTCTATCTCGCTGTCAATTCTCCTTCCGATACATACAGTGGACGAATGGACCATTGATCAAACTATCGATAAACCCCACTCTCGCGCATCGTTCCCTCCGAATGATTCCTGAAGATGGTAATATTGACTCTTCGAAACGTGACAAATGTGGAATTACCAAAGACTAACCTCATCTCAGTGTCTCGAACAGTAACCGCTCCTTTCGATAGACTGAAAATTTACCTCATCACCACTGATCATCAATATGTCAATTTACGCGCTGTGAGCGCTTCCGCCCTCCGACATCCTCTGGCAGTGGGTTCGACGGCGGTGAATAATCTCTGGGGAGCAGTTACGAGGATTTATGTTGATGGCGGGGGTATAAAGGCTTTCTGGGTTGGAAATGGGTTGAATGTTTTGAAGATATTTCCTGTAAGTTTAGCTTGTTTTGGTTCTGCCATGATCCCTGACTTTTCTCCCCCTATTCGACCCTGTATCGCCCCTTTTTCATCTTCTTGCCTTAGATGCAATCTCAGCGCCTCTCCAATTTCTCTATCTACAACTGACTCACACCTTCCCACCCGTCCCTTCTCCTTCGATCCATTGGTCTATACCTTAGGGAGATCCCACAGGATATTCCATCATCACCGTAGCTGATCCGTTCGACAATCATCTTCTCAAGTTATACCATTTTATTTGATGGTCTACCCACTGACAGCCAGGAATCAGCCATCAAATTCGTCTCATACGAGCAATCTAAAAAGTTCTTAGCGCAATATTGGGATAAAGTCTCAGACGCTTCTGAATTATCATCATCTTCTCGGTTTTTAGCTGGAGGTGTGGGAGGTATCACATCACAATTTGCCATTTACGGTTTGGAAACTCTCAAAACTAGGGTTCAAAGTGAAATGGGACCAGCTCAAGGATGGAGAGCTGTTTTACGTACTGCTGGAGATATGTGGAGGATAGGAGGTGTGAGAGCTTATTATAGAGGTTTGACTGTGAGTTTAGTTTTTCATCTTGTTCTTTCTTTCCTTTACCGCCAAGTCCCTTGCATATTTTGTCATGTTCCATCAAGAAACTCCTTTTCCGTTATTGCCGTGATCTTTCGACAAATCCCTTGCTTGCTTTCTCATGGTCTACCGACAAATCCTTTGAGTATGTTCATAATGCTTGACCGACAAAGCTCTTTGTATCTTCTCGGTTCCTCCCACACTTTCCTCTCATATCGTTCCATGTTTCATCAACAAAGCGACATAAGCGTGGAGTGAGAGACCACACTTAATACCAAATGTCACGTGCACCCTCTTTCCAGACGGCCATGCTGCATGGAGCATCGTATATTGTTCAAAGGGACAGCTCATACCCCCGTGTGGAAAAGAGCTGATAATTCCAGCTCGGTCTCGTAGGCGTTTTCCCTTATTCAGCTATAGATATGGGTACATACGAAACTTTGAAAAAGGCCTATGTGAAATCTACTGGGAAAGAAGAACCTAGTGTTTTTGCTACGTTGTCTTTTGGAGCTTTATCAGGTTCTATAGGTGCTGCTAGTGTTTATCGTGAGTGTAACGTCTTCTACCTTGACTGTGGTGTGCCAAATTGGTTCGAGTCCCTTTTTCCGGTGTCATATGACTTTTGCCAGTAATGGATCGGATTTGGTACTTATTGGTCACATCCTTCTCTATCGATCCTCATCTCAACCTTCTCTCTTATCTTGGCATTTCTCCTGGCTTACAATCTCAACCTCTTTTCCTATCCAGGCATTGCATCTGGTGTACAACATTCCTTCGCAACCCACTTCTCTCGAGTAAAGACCTGATACAACCCACGTCACTCATTCAAAGCCGATCCATTGTGTCTCAAAAGGAACATCCTCACACACATCTCGTCTGGTCGAAGATACGCTCTTGCCCACCGCCTGTCTCTTGGTGGAATCGGAATTAAAGAGAAAATTGCTAACACTCAGCTATAAACCTTCTCCGTACACGTCTCCAAGCAGCAGGTTCAACAGGTCATAAACATTCTTACACAGGTTTCAGAGATGTCCTCCGACAAACTTTAGCTCACGAAGGTTGGAGAGGTTTATATAAAGGTTTATTACCTAGTATTTTGAAAGTTGGACCGGCGGTGGGAGTCAGTTGGATAGTTTATGAGGATGCCAAGAGGAGATTGGGAGTTTAGTCGTGGTCCTCATATTTCACTTTTTTACTTTTCTCCTTCTCTACTGTCCTACTTTTCTACTCTCCTACTGCCCTACTTTTCATCTATTCTTCAATCTATCATATCTGACAACCTTTACGTAGGAATAGATTATAGTCCGGAACGGGAACATTTCAATGAGTCGAAGACGATTGGGTTGGGATTGAAAGAACATTGGAATGAGGAGGAAGCTGTCATGTTTTGGGGAGAGAGGCAGAGAAAGAGAGAGAGAAGGAAATGATCATTAATCAATTTCCTCCCCTTCCGACCACCTAACAATCTCCGTGGGAAAAGATCAACTCGGTCAATCGAGCTCAGATGGGATAAATCGTACCCGTTGGATGCATAGGACAGGAGGGATATTCAAGAAAGATAGACGGAATAGTAGATTGGGAGTGAAAAGTGAAGATAAATGAGGATCAACCAACAACCATCTTGATATCAGTTTTGAATAACTTTTTCATCAAGTGAAATGAAATTATCTCATAACATCCATATCCATTCATTTGTTATTGTTTCAACTTACCCATCATGTTCTTCCGTCTAATCCTATTTCTCTTGTTCATCTCACTTTTACAATGATACTTTATACTTTATACTTTATCATTCTAACCTGATTCCATAACCTCATTCCTGCAATACTTCAATCATCATGGTCAGAGAACGTTGTAATCCGATAATGAGCTTTAGTCCTCTTTACATATTTTCCTCTCTTTATCAAAAGTCGTTCATGAGATCATAATCGCTCATGAGGGAGAAAAATCCCCTCTTGTTAGACGATTCCAGGAACTTTGACAATTTTAGGTTATCTTGAATCATAGTTTATACAACCATCATCATCCTACTTATATCCTCCACCCCCAATCCAAGTCCCGTCCTGAGCCCCGTTCCGAGTCCTGTTCCAGGACCCACCCCCTTACCTTTCCGTTTCTCCATCAACTTCGCTTTCAATTCCCTAGCTCTTCTCTCAACAATCGTCTCTGCTTGCATCATTTTCAAAACCATCAACCTCCTTCTAATTTCTTTAAACCTTTCTACCTTATCCAAATCTCTCAAACTTGAATCTTCCTCTTTTGCAGCTCTACGAGCTTTTGATAATAATAATCTTGATCTTAATGCGTATGCTCTTGATTGATTGGTTTTGAATTTGTATGAAGCTTTTTCATTCTCTAATTTCAATCTTAGTTTCATTCTTGATCTCTTCATTTCTTTCAAACTTTTCTTAGTTTGTACCTTCTCCTCTTCAATTCTTGAGTTTGGCTTTCTATCTGTTTCGTTGTCTTCTTCGATCGTCTGGGTTCTTGTTTGGTTTTCTTGTTCGATAGCTTGGGTTCTTGTTTGGTCTAAGATGGAGATGTGTGATACGTCGTGTTGGACGTTGGAGTTGGAGTTGGAGTTGAGACTAGTAGTAGATGGAAGATTGGATAAACCTTGAGATTCCGATTTAGCTTTAGCTAATCTTTCCAACAAAGTCAAACGTTTTTGTTTTTGTCCATTAACATGATTCGAAGCTCCTTTTATACTTATCCCTCCTGATCTTGTTAAATTAACATCCACATTATCCAAAATTCCCACTGTAGATTCTTGTGTCGTATCAACATCAACCATATTTGTTCGAGGTGGAGAAGGTAACAATTCAATTCTCTCTTTCTCTTGTTCAACAACATTTTGAGTAACCGATCCCATTCTTCCCACTTGCCATCTGTCCCTTTTGGCTTGTCGTCTTTTCATCCTTTCTTCTTCTCGTTGACGTTGAACCTCTATATAATCAAGATAATCAGGATCTACCCAACTATCAGACTCATCCCATTTCCTTCCTCCTGGTGATGGAGGAGGTATGAATGTATCGTGTTTACTCCATTCTTTCGGTGATGTTTGTTGTCTTTTTGAAACTGGTGGAGAATCATGGTATGTGGAATGAGAGTTACGTTTTCGGGTGGAAGGTTCATGATTTGAGAGATGGGATTCAAGTTTATGTGATGATGAAGAGGAGAGGGAACGTTTATGTTGATTTCTTCCAACTTGTGAAGAAGAGGAAGAGTTTTGACTTTTGTATGAAGATTCAAATGATGAAAGAGGGGAACGTAAGAGTGATGAATGGGATGAAAATGAATTAGAAGGTGAAATTGGGATGGAAGAATGTCTAGAGATGGATCGTAAAGGAGATTTATCGAGTGGAGAGTTGGGTATTGGGTCGTACTACTAGTTAACCCTCCAATCATAACACCAAAAGATCATTGAGAAATATCCCCCGACATTGACACTGAGAAGACATCTTCGAAGTATCGGTACAATATCGAGATGATATCAGGATGTCACGATGATGACCGAGGGATAGTGCCAAAATATTGACAAGGAATCAGGAAATACTGAAGGAGTGAAAGTTGTGAAGAAAGTAACTCACCTGAGCGATCAAATCATATTTCCTCAATTCCTTAAAAGGAGATCTCAAAAAATTATACAATTCATGAGCGAAATGTTCCGCTCCTCTAGGATAAACATTATCAGGTGTGTCGAGAGTATCAGCTAATAATCTAACAGCAGGTTCAGAACGTATATCTATAGCTTTTATCAAAGATAATATATAAGTCGTGAGATATTCTACATCTACAAGTGACCAAACACGCAATTCTCGACGCATGAACAAAGTGGCTCGGGCGAGAAGAAGTGGGTCGTCTGAGATTTCTCTTGGGGATGGATTCGGTCGGAATCCGGTTGTAGGGTTTGAAGCTATGTGCTAAGTTGTCAACCTCTGATTTTTTGTGAACGTCTTTATCTGTTTCTCTCCCTCTTTTTTTGGAAGATTCAATATGGGTGTAAAGAATTGGTCTGGTTTCTGGAAGATTCTTATGCCTCCTGATAGAGTGTCACATTTTCCAACACATTTGTGTGAACGAGTACGGAAAAAAATCGGATCGAAGAAAGAAGAGAAGTATGACTGGGGGAGAAGAGAGGTGTTGAAGAAAGAAGAGATGGTCCAAAAGAAGAAAAAATGATGAGAAGGAATGAGAAAGATGAGAAATGTATGAAGAACGAAGAAAGATGAAGAAAAAGAAGAGAAGACACTCACTTTCACATACAACTCATGTCTATAAATCTCCCTACGTCTTTCGACTTGTAAATCCAACTCGTCCAATTCTGCCTTTTCTCTAGCTCCCCATCGAGGATCTTCCCCCGAACCCGGTAATCGGGAGAGAGGTAGAGTCATGGTAGGAGGACGTCTTTGAGGTAATGGTGGTAGGTAAAACTGAACGTCAGGCACAATCGAACGATCTTACTGGTGGAGAAGCGTAGATCCAAGGGCGAATGACAGGGTTTGATGAGATTATGGGAAAGAGAGGATATGTGGACTCACTTTGATAGGTACTATAGCGTCTAGATCGTGGAGAAGAAAAGGAGCCATATCGGCTGAACATAATGGACAACGACGTGATTGGTTCGCCCAGACTCCTATGCATTCGAACTGGTCTCAGCGTATGTCGCAATGAAGTAGGGAAGATAAAGACGAATCACTCACACAAAACTCATGTCCACACACACCCACTATAGTCCTATCCCTCAGAGGCATGAGACAAATCACACATCTCTCTTTATTACATTCATCATCTCCTTCTTTCTTCGACCAAGATAAATCCATAGGTTCATCAGGATGTAACCTGACTTGATCTTCCCAATCCATCTTCTTCTTTCCAGCTGCTAATCGTGTAGATTGGTCGACGGGTGGAGGTGCTGTGGGTGGCCATGCTCTAGGTGGTGAGAAGAGTGCGTGTTGTAATAAGAACCCTTCCGCTTCGTCCACTATGAGGTCAGTAGATTGTTTGTTCATATTCTTGGATTCTCTATCGATTGTGAAAGATGATCTGGTAGGAAGAGAGGTTTGAGTTCAAATGTTGTTAAAAGGGGACAAGGTCATGGGATAGTGAGCTTCTTTTGACCATGTGTTCGTTCATATGGGGGATATGGTGATTGTTGGAATCCGAGGTTGACGGAGAGAGACTCACTGTACATCCTATCGCTCACGAAAGCCTTTCTTACCATCTTGTCGTCTTCTCCTATACCTACGAAGAAGTACTATAGTGATAGTGATAGAAGATAGAGGTAGAGGTAGAAAGTGTATAAGTAGTAAAGTATCGACGAATTCGGTCATCGGTCATGAAATCTATAACATTTTTACAACAATCCCCCTTTCGTATCTCTTTTCACTTTCTACTCATATAATCTCCCATTTACATATAAACATACTCTATCTAACAACTAATCATAGACTCAAACCACTATGTCAACCAATAAACCAACGAGAACTCATTTGATACTCCTCCTTCATGGTCTATACGGTTCACCTGACAACTTGACCGTTTGCGCTCAAGAATTGAACAAAGCAACTTCAAAATCATCTTTACAAGTCAAAGTCTTAGTGGCGAAGAGTTATATGGGTAGTCATACTTGGGATGGAATCGATATAAATGCTAGGAGGGTATACAAAGAGGTCAGTAAGACTTTATCACTTCAACATACCCTCTCCTCTCTTACTCGATCTCTCCTGTTTCTACCAACTTATTTGAACCTTTTCGCCCTTATACAAACCACGGACCATCGACAGAGTATGACTTTTGAGGGGTAGTAGCTTGACTCTACTGTTTGACGTCAGTTCAACAGCTGATATAAAGCTACACGCTCATATAGATTTACTAAAGAAGGAGAACCAAGAAGTCACAGCTTTTTCAATAATGGGTATATCCCTTTATACGGAAGAAGTGATCAAAGAGCTAATGAGAAGGATATAGTTTAGGAGGATGTATAGCTAGGTATTTATTAGGGTTATTAGCTATGGATCCTGGTTTTTTCAAGAGACATGAACCAGTGGGATTTTCAACATTTGCTAGTCCTGTGAGTGACCTACCTCCTTTCTCCTTTCTCCTTTCCCATTCTTGTCAAGACCTCTCCCTCCCCTGATTTCGATGAGTTCAGAACTGGTACTAACCATGTTAATATCCCTAAGTTTCATCCTTTCGTGACTTTCCATCTCCAACACCTTGAGTCAATGTTTTGTTTAAAAGTCAGTAATGGGTTTCTAAAAGAAGGCGGTGAATTGGGTTGTGCCTTGACGAACTCGAGCCATGTAGTACGAACAATGGGATACACCACAGAGAAAGGCTGACGTGAAAGTATCTAGGTGTATTGAAGTATAGTAAGTTTTCATAATCCAAATCAACAACAAATATGACGACTGACAACGTAGGAACAAGAATGAACACTTTCGTTCATTCCATCGGTCGTAGGGTTTTGTCAAGAACGGGACAACAATTGTATATGTTGGATAAAGATCATGGAAGACCTTTATTATCTGTTCTTGCTGATCCGGGTGAGTAGATATGTCACTTCACTCGCTTCAATCTGGAAAATTCACTGCGGTTCATTCCAAATCGTAGACTGAAGTACTCTTTCGCCTCTTACACTGTCCAAGAACATCCCTCTTATACTATCAAAGAACATCCTCTTTACACTGTCCCAGAACATAAGTACCCAGCTGACTGACCAGACCTAATCTTCTTGCAAACGTTGAAACGTTTCCCTCGAATATTGGTAATTGCCAACGGGTCAGTCCTATTTTTCTTCTCACATCTCACCCCACACCCCATCTCCTCTCCTGACTCACCGCCCAGCGTTTATCTCCAGAATACCAATTCTGTCCTTCAACCTTCAAATTAATCTTGAGTACCAATACCAACTTTTCAACGCTGATATATCAGATGCCATGACCTGACCGTTCCTTATCCAACAGCCACTTTCTCCCTTTCTGACCCTTTCGTAGACTACGCGACCAATGGTCTTATGGTAGAGACCGATCCGGATCATGTGGTGACTTCTTTCCGACTCCCCGGTCGGTCAAGCACATCCATGTATGATAAGCATAATTCTTCCTTCAATTTGAAGAACGAGAAACTCTCGAATGATGATTCTCGACCTAGTGATGGTGGTACTCAAGTGAACAGAAGAGTGATGGAGGAAAACAATGAAGAAGAGGAGGACCATGAAGAAGATGAAGTTGAGGATTTACTAGGTTTGACAACACAAACTCGGGTTGTGGAACAAGTACGAAAAAGACATTTCATTCCACCTGTTTTCGTATTACCTTATCCATTCCCTTTTTCCCATGTGAGTGATTTCATTCCCCTCCTCTTTCTTTGACCGTTTCACCAAAATCTACGACTATATGTAAAGTATGGTTGTTGGCTTTGGGCTGTTGTCTCTTTTTTCCCTGATACTTGTGAGAGGTGTAATCTACTAGTACCACTTTCCTTTGCGTTCGTACCGCAGCGGAAGGGGCCATTATAGGTTAAGGTTAGAGCGCTGCTGATAGATAGTTACCGTTATTGATAGCACCTATTTGGTTCTTATTTGCCATCATTGTCGCGTGAGCTGGGTCAATGACGTCAGATAACAGCTCACGATTAGACTTTCCGCATTGGTGTTGATAGCTATTCAATCGTCAGTCTCACAATACCATCCCCCCAGCTTCACATCGATTCCAAATATCATCATTGTGTCATCCCTCTCGATCACTATCACATTCACCAATTCCCAAATACCGCTTTTCCTGTTTTTGGTTTTCCTTGTCTTGACCACCGCTGCGTTCACGCTCCCGGCCGAGATGGATTTAATCGTTGAACCCGTAGATTTTTCCTCGAAAGGAAAACGCTTATATTCAGACAATACCGTCTCAGAAGTCTTCTTCATCCTTCTTCAGAACACACACCTCTCCTAACACTCTCAAAACCATATCTCTCAAATACATCTTCTGATCCATCTCATTCACTTACCAAACATCTCGAAAACAAAAAAGATAGATCAATAACAAGTACACCGTCTAGATTTGCAGACTCAGAATCATCATCAAGAAGTACCTCACCTCTTTATACAGAATCACCAGACTCAGAACATTCATCACTCGTTCCTCTTCTCTTGACTGAAGAACAGAAGGTTATCGTTAGGAATTTGAATGGGGAATTGCCACAAGTTCAAAAAGTCGTAGCTTGGTTTCCGTATGCTTTTAATAGTCACGCTATGTTGATTGTCCGGTGGGTCCCTTTTTTTGGCTCAACCTCACTTTTCCCTGTATTTTTACACCTTTCTTATCCCTCCCGACATCGCTCTTTGGCCCGGTCCTGCATATTCCGTCAAGTACGCTTCCCCCACAACGCCCATTTTCCAGTTTGAAAGATTAGCTTCGTTCACATTCATCTCATTGCCTCTGTCATACGTCACCATACATTGATGTTGAGCTCCCAGCTGGATAGACGGGTGTATTGAACACACTACTATAAAAATTAATATATGAACTCTACGAAATCTTGACCAATCCATGGGATAGCCTATTCCTGACAGTTTAATCTCCGGAGAATCCATCGGAATCCATTCCCCACTTTTACAACGATGAATCAGTGAACTCCGGATATGTCTTTCATGTAAAGATCAAATTAGACAATTGATGCTGATTAGTTAGAAGCGGGGCGCGCTTCCCGTGGCAAGAAGATGCACGCGGTTTAGTTCGTCGTTGGGCCGAATGGATGATCGATGGACCTTCGACCATCTGATATAACCTGTTACATACATACACTTTTTTGTATTCCTATCTTGCTTCAGACTGGTACGGTTCGTGGCGTTGTATCACAATCAGTGTTGAAAAGATCAAGAACATATTCTAGATTTGTACATTTCATTCATCTTCCCATCAATGACTGTCACTCGTAATGTCATGTATGTATGTATCATGACCACTATTTGTTCTTGTTCGTTTATTCTCCTCACGACAATCTGGTCAACGCGAGGACTTCTTGAAACACATGATGCTGGCGAAGATAGGGTGTGATGCTGTTGAAGCTATACGAGTTTGGTGAAAGAAGGGTGAGGTGTAATCTGTCACAAGGCAGAAAAGGGTAACAGGGGTATGATAAGGAAATTCATTCATCATAAACATATACTAAACAAACATCTTCGTCAAATCGAAGTCTCATACCTTACTGATCCTCGCCATATCCTAGCCACACAATACCATCCAATCAACCTTTGTTTCCACACCTTCTGTAAGTTTGACTCATTGAACCCTCCGCTCTCCCTAATCAAAACCTAATCCACAATAATCCATGAGTAGACACTACCCAAACGGCTGCTGTCATCTCCCGAAATATGATTTCCGACGTTCTCATCAGATATTTCGAAAATCCACAGTATAAAACAGATATCGACATTGACGTAAACCCGACATTTATTAACATTATCAATCGTCATCAAAATATGAACAAAGTTGTTCGTTTGTTTGTTTTTTCGTCACTTTCAATATGAACATCTCTTGACACGTTTTTAATGTACAATCCGCTGTCGGATTCCTTCGATGGAAATCTTGAACCTCTTTGATCCTTGGTTATTGGTGATTGGATATTGGTTATTGGATATGGGATATGGTCGATTAATTGGTTTGGACACTTTCGACTTTTTCTTCCAATAATTTAAGAGATTCTGCTTCTCTCACAAGAGATTCAGTTGGAGTCGGATCTATCCAAAGATTCTTCCAATAATTTAAGAGATTCTGCTTCTCTCACGAGAGATTCAGTGGGAGTTGGGTCTATCCAAAGATTTGAATTTGGTGGGTTTTCTTTATGTATTCGACCGTTCTATCCCTCAGCTTTGTCCATCCCTCCTATACCTCCTATATCTCCTCGTTTACACATGCACCCTTTTCTGTATCTCCTTGGGCAATCTCTAGGTCTTTCTCTCCTTTCTCGATCAATCACCAAAGAAACCCCCTGTCATGAAACATCTTTTAGGATACAAGTATTTCGTCCACTCATCATAAATCCGTTTCCAGAAAGTCAAGCCAAGAACTCCTCAAGATAGTCATTTTCGGAAGGTTAGACGGTGGTGTCGAATAAAAAATACTTCGTCTATCTACTTTATTGGTGGAAAAGTGGAAACAATAGCAAATAGGTCCGTGGGGAACATAAATTGAAAAATGGGAAATAGGAAATGGGAAATGGGAAATGGGAACAGAAGGATGGAAGAGAAACAGAATTAACTGACAATCATAACCATATCCAAACCTTTCCCACCATCCAACAAACTGATATCTTCCAAAGGATTCCCATGAACCAACAACAAATCCGCATAGAAACCTTCTTTGATTTGTCCCAATTCATCAGGATGAAGCATTATTTCTCCACCTAATTTCGTTGCTGATAATATAGCTTCCATAGGTGACATGTTGAGATGTTTTACGAAAAGTGATAAATCTCGATATGTACCATGAGGTGTCCAAGCGAAACTTTATCATCAACTTTTAATTCTGACCAAATTCGTCCCCCAGAGAAAGTATTCTTCACTCTAGCTCTCGACTGATTCATCCAGCAAAAATAATTCTCTTCACGACGTTATGTAGTTGGGGAAATGAGGGATATTGTAGAGGGGTGGGTTAATGAGATGACTGTAAGGGATGGTGTAATGAATAACTGTAAGAGATGAATTGATATGATATAGTGAGATATGAACGAATGTGATATAGATCAGGGAGTGGGAAAGTATAGCGGTATGAGTTTCTGAAGATATTAAAAAAACTTACCCATAATCTCCACCTGGTAATACTCTTATACCCCTTCGATGCATCTCTTTCAATCCTGCTGAAGCTATTTCGAGTTCTCTTGCGTACCCTACAGATTCGGCTTTACTAGTAGGATCTATATATGAGCGGTCAATCCCATTTTTCGAGGATCTCCTTCACTTTGCTGGATAAAGACCGTAAGTTGTTCGCCAACAGTCCGTTTGTCATACCATGACTCACAGAGATCCAAGGGCGATGTTCACTGCCTGTAGAGGATTGGACTTCGGGGGTTAGTGTGACGTGCGCGGGTCAGGGGCAGTGAGTGATATGCCGAGGGTATGAGAGGAGAAGGGAGGTGAAAGGTTGAATCAAACTCACATCCGAAAGCTGCTGCGTCATGTAGAGTAGCGACCAACCAATTAAGAGCTGGAGCAACGAAGACTCTATCTTTCTGAGCTTCAAGTGCGTCCATCGTTTCGTCAGAGATGAAAGCTGAGCGTCAGTCTGATGACCCTCCTCATATAACTTTCGCCCCATTCTCACTTGGACCCTCCCCTCAGCTCTTCCACGACGCTGCATCTGCTCTTCGACCCCATCTTATCCGGTGACCTCAATGGATTCTCACAGCTCACATCACTAGGTTCTGACGTAAAATGAAGTTTTCTCGTGGAATCACTGTGGCGAGATAAACAAGTCTTATACCTCCAGACACCTGGGATCAAGAGCAAGGGAGAGGGGAGTAGGAAGTATTCTGATGTTTCATAAAAGAGGAATGTGATTTCAACTCACAAGCATGATATATGATATCAACACCATATTGCAAACATTGCAAAATACTCTTATCACCTCTAGCATGTCCACAAACTCTCATTCCTTTTGAATGTGCAGCTTCGACAGCAGCAGCTACTATCTCATCTGGTATCGTTGTATCTTCCGCACGGAGATGTTCTGTTATTTCTTCACCTGACATACTGAGTTTGATTTGGTCTATACCTCTTGGTTTTGATTGAAGTGCTGTTTTACCTAAATGTCAACGGATTGTTTCCTCCGTAGCTACCTAGTCGTCTTTATCGGGATTCCTCTCCCTCGACATACAAACAAGGGAGTGCCTCGATATCCCATGCACCTCTGATATTTCACCACGTGTTCAATGAAACACCGGTCTTCCACTAGTTTTGAACGGAGGGCAGGTCTTCCGTCCGGCTTTCTCAGTCATGATTTCAAATCGGTAGACCTAGCTTTTCTTTCTGAAACCAGAATATCTAAGATTGGAAAAAATCAAAAGTTGAGGAGAAGATGATGATGAGTATTGGTCTAGGGAAACCTCTAAGACCGATGATAAGAATAAAACAAGATAACCCACCAGTAATCGCATGATGTCCAAAAGCCAACTCATCCAATTTCTCAATCACCTCTTTAACTTCTTCAGGACTCTCAACAAATCTAGTAATACCAGGAATCAAAGCACCTATTTTCGGAGCCATTTCTTGTGCTGATGCTAATGATCTAGGACCTGGAATATCACCTGCGTTTATAGCGTCCCTTATGACTAAATCTAATCTAGCTTTTGCGGATGCTGCACCTAGACAAGAAGTGTAACCGCAATTCAAAAAAGTTGATGCTGATCTAGCTGAGAAAAGAGTATGTTCTTCTACTGGCATATCGGCTAGACCGTCGAGAGAAGGGGAGTTTGTCCATGTGAAATGGGTATGAGCGTCGGCTAGATGTCAGCTTGAGTGGTTTTCTTGTTTCGCTTTAGTCATGGCAAAGGCCTTCCTGGTCCAGCGTTTCTGAGTGTGTAAGGTACATCTACTCAAGACGATTTAGAAGGAATGTATCTCATGTGCTTGGACTGTGGAACTTCCAGGCGGAAGTAAGTTTGGGAAGGATCAAATACAGAAAGACCTTCGATTTTGAAGATATGTAACGTGGTGACTGATGACTCACTCAAACCAGACATGAGAGTTCTTCCTTGACCATCAACCACTCTAGCACCTTTCTTATCCTCTTCACCCAACTTTTTACCGACACTGACGATCCTCTCCCCTTTCACCAGTACATCTCCACGATACGGCAGAGCACCGGTAGAGTCAAGAATGTTCACATCCATGAATGCTACTTTGTCTTCGTTGGGAGTAAGAGAGGCTATACTCAAGTCTGGGGCATGGATACGAGGATCAGGTTTGGTCTGCACATCAATTTGGTTTCTTACCCTTTCCCCGACGTCATTCTACTTGGTAGTTCACTCAGTCTCCCTGGAGATCTGGACGACTACAGGAGTGGGGTGTGGCAACATACACATTCAAAGTGTGAAAGACAGAGAGGGTCAAAAGAAGGGCGAGATTCGAGTGTAGAAGGGGACGGTGAAAAGGGTTGGGTGAACATACCAGATCTATTCCTCTGAACACTGGCTTGAGAGCGTCCCATGGTTCTCCAAAACCATTCTGCCATCAGTCTTTGTATCCTTCCAGTAGCTTGGTACTTACCGTCGTTACTGTACGCTCTACGGGGCCTGAAGGGGTATGACCGTTGAGCATCCTGAGCGTCAGTCATGGTTGTCAAGCTACTCCCAAGACTTCTCATTCCCAGTATCACCCATAGACTGGTGAACTCGTTCCGCTGAAATGAACTGCACGTCTGGGTCAGAAGCTACACCACTGAATAGAACGTTAAGGGATGTGAAGTCTGAAGAAGTCCAAAAACCACTTACCACCTGGGAGGTTTCCATTCTGAATATTCCGGCGCGACCTTCGGGTCGAAACTATTTATCAGCGATGTCATACAGACAATATCTCCAAGTAACACCTCACTTGTATGGTTTCTGTTCTTTCTCTGTCATCGCTTCAATAATCTCGGCCAACCAATGGTAATGTCAACAATCAAAACTCACAAACATTCCAGCAGTTTTTATACGCTATGACCATATTGTTTTACTCTCGCGGCCCTTGTTACCCCAATCCAACAACCGCTTGCTTGTCAACCGGAAGTCGGAACCGCCCCTAATCCCATCTAACCATTCCGGGTTACCATCAATTCTCCATGTCCCTTTTCCTTTTTTGTGAATCATGTTCTTCCTAAGCGAGACCAGTGAGTGTATCAATGACGGCGATCAGATTAAGAGTGAATCTCTCCGTGCGATCAACGGATCTTCCGCCACGAAAGGTAAGAACCGCCACGCCCGACGATCGGGACCGTGCGGCCGAGAAGCGGCAAAAAGTGGCATATGGCGAAATGTGGCTTGAAACCCAAAGGTAAGGTTAGGGAATGGTGATGGAAAGTCTCTTTTTTTTTTTGATGCTTCTTTCCTTCTTTATATCCTTTGGTTCCTGATTACTCGGCTTACTTCCGACGGGATTCGAATTGGAACATGGGAAATGAGAACATGAGGCCATCAAAAATGAAAAATGAGACATCACTTTCTATTTCTTGTTTCTCCCTTTCACCGACTACTTGACAATTGAGTAAGGACTTCGGCATCTTGACCGAGGTTTGTGTCGCTTGAAGGAATTTTAAGATTGTACGATTGGAACGGTCCGGTATTTCCGTTTGACGGAAGGTTGGAAAGGATTTTGAGAGAGTTCTCTCTTTCGCCGTGAAGAATTCGTTTTCCACTCCGGTTTGGTCTTTGTTTGTGTACATGATGAAGTTTGTAGCTTGTAAGTGGTCCTTCATCTCTGTTCGACGGTAACACCATGGTGGATGATGTGTGGAGGGATGGTTGGGGCAAGAAAGATGGAACGGCAGACCGACGGAAATATAGATGGAAGTGGTGGAGCGAGACAGAGTGGGGCGGCGAGCATGACTTGACACGCGTAGGAGAATGAGATTGGCTTCAAGGATGATACTCTGCGAAAAGGGACAATCTAACACTCAGATCGATCATCTTCTCAGCCTAACGGTGCAATAGGTTCAACCGACGATTCAAACGAATATATAACCCCACTCCTCTTGCCCGATAGAACACCACTACGTAGTTTTCAAGAACTTGTGGAGAGATGGGATCAGGTCAAAGATTGTCTCTTACCTTCTGAACCTAAGGAAAGATGGGATGAAGTGGAGATATTACCGCCTTTTCCGGGGAGGGATGTGATTTGCGTAGGCAAAAATTATAGGGAACATGCTACGTGGGTTGGGTCGTTTCGTCTTCACCATTATCTATTTTTTTTATTTCCTCTCTCTTTCACCTAGGCGTGTTTCTCGCGTAATTCATTAAATGTTGAACAATCGAATATGGGTCAAGCTATAATTTCATGTAGATGAAAGCCATATCGATGAGATAGAGAAAGAGAGAAGAGGGGGAAAGATCAAATGAAGAGTCTCACTGACATTTCAGCGAATTCGCCGGTTCAGGATTCGATCATGATACTTCTGATACACCTGATTTTCCTATCATTTTCACCAAACGTGCCACCTCTATAGTAGGTCATAACCATCCGATACAGCCCCATACGACCATAACGGATAAATTGGACTACGAAGGGGAGTTAGGAATTATTATTGGAAAAAAAGGTTTAGGGGTGAGTAAAGAAGATGCTTGGGAGTATGTTTGGGGAGCGACTATAATCAATGATGTGAGTCAAGTACAATTTCGTGGATTCACCCCTATCGGAAGGCAGTACCATCCATCCCTCGTTCAGGCTTCAATGACTTCCTCATATAGACCAGAACTGTACGGCGAAGTTGACTTGTCGTCTGTATGAAAATAGAGGTATGGAGAGGCTGACCAACAGGTCACGGCAAGGGATAAACAACGGGATCATAAACAATATTATCTAGGAAAATCATTCGATACGTTTTGTCCCATGGTGAGTCATATCTCCCACCTCATCTGATGATGCTCATACTTGTAGGGACCTTTGGTAGTACCAGGTGAATAATCTCCCGTTTTCCTTATCTCCAAAACATCCCTCTGTCAAGTGTACCAAATGATCATTTCTATCACTCATCATCTCACTCTCCCTCAGCTCCACCACCACGCACATAGTATCGTCAGCCGGATTACGACATACTACTCATTGCATATGAGGATCAAAAACTGACATACAGCCTCCGAACTAGACATCCCTTCACTCTTACTCCAAACTCACGTCAACGGTAAACTTCGTCAATCCGCACATATATCAGAACTCATATTTGACATCCCTACCCTCATTCACACTTGTTCAATGGGTACAACCCTTCAACCAGGTGATGTCATAGCTACTGGGACTCCTTACGGAGTAGGTATTTCAAGTGGAGCTTTTCTTCAACCTGGTGATATCGTCGAAGTTTCAATCACCGGTCTGGGTACATTGAGGAATATCATTGCCGATGATCGGAGTACGGAGAAAAGTTAAAAAAGAACAGTTTTGGGTTGTGAATATTGATGCGATCAATTTCTTCCTTTTGAAGGCTAGGCTCGTGGCTTGATGGCTTTTGAAAATGATATCATACTGTCTTTTTGGTATTGACCAATTATGTGAGAGGTATTGGATAAATCATTCTTTGTTTCGATTTGGTTCAAAGGATCTTATGACCTCATTCACTCACTGTCTGAGCTTCTCTAGTCAATGAACCCGTGTATCGGACTCCGTAAGACCTTTTTTTTCTTTGGATATAACGACCATGTCTCTCAACTACGACTGATTCGACTTACTTATTGCTGAGACAGTAGAGACTGACTGCTTGAACATAAGAACAAACCTGAACCAGAAGATACACCAGTGATACTTCACAGACGATGTCGCTCCTCGACCTTCCCTCGGGTAAAGTATACGTAGAAACGTCAGGTCTGGAAACGGGCTCGACAGTCATTTGTATTCACGGTCTGGGCGGTTCGTCGTCAAACTTTTACCCTTTGGTAGAAGCCGCGGAATTGGGGAAGAAGTATAAAGTGGTGTTGTTCGATTTACCTGGTCATGGGTTGAGTCCTTTGGGTGGTCAAACGGTGAGTGTCTCTGCGAACATCATCATTTCACTATTCAAGTCGCAGTCATCTAGCTACGGAGGGAGGGATGAGAGAGAAGGGACGAGAGAGGCGGAAGGAGGAAAGAGCTCATCAGGGTAGAGAGAGGAAGGGGTGAATGGGAGGGAAAGAAGAAGAGATCGAGGCTAATGATCAGGAAACAAAAGGGGTAGAGGTATATGTACGTTGTTTGGAAGAAGTCACAGATGCTTTGAAAATTGAGAAAGCTGCTTTGGTAGGACACTCGATGGGATGTGTGAGTAGTTGTCACATCTTCTCTCCATCCAACTCACCCAATCTTCCTTCCAGCGATCGAAGAGGAGACGTATTCAAATCATTCCTTTCAGGCGATTATGCATGTAATGTCAAGTCAAAGACATGTAGGGCCATCCGGATGTCAGAGATTAGATGGAATGTTTTGAACGTTAACTGATGGATAGCTTATCGCGACTACTTTCGCTTCTCTTTACCCAAAAAGAGTGACTAAATTATGTGAGTCATATGTCACTTCCCTACCTATCTCCTTTTCATCTCCTTGTCTATCTCCTCTTGACATTCATTCCTTATACTGTGCAACTTGTAGCATCGCTCTTTCAAACTGACCACTTACTATCTACATTCCTTCCCTTCTCCCTGCGGCCTGTCCGCTACGTTCGATGATAATCTTCTCTCTGTCGAAGTTTTAGGAAAACCGCTCATTCTCCTCACCCCCTTGGTAGTACATGAGATGACGCTAACCCCCTAGGTCTACTCGGCCCAATCAAACAATTCCCATCTACACCATTCCAACCCCTCCTCGATCGTGCATCCACAGCCCGATCATCCTTATCATCCTTCTCTACCCTCTCATCAACCCTTTCCATCGGTGGAACTTCCCCTTCCTCCCATTCGAACCATCTCGTCATAGCTGCGGTCCGTACTTCTATCCTTCATACTGACCCTGAAGGTTACGCTCGAGCTTGTGAAGCGTTAGCACATGCTACAGACCCTGCATATGGATCAGTGGAAGGTGATGTGTTGGTGATTAGTGGACATGACGATAAAACTTCCACTGAACAGATCGGAGAAAGTTTGGTAAGTGTTTTGAAAGGGAAAAGAGAGGTGGTCAAGGGAGGTCATTGGATGTTGTTGGAAAGTGTCGAAGAGGTTGCGGTGTTGGCAAAGGGTTTCCTGATTGATTAAACGGTAAGGCAAAGTGAAGGTTTGACAATAAGAAGGTATGCATACAGTGTAAGTTGAGAAAGATTATAAAACAATGAATTATGTTTGATGCACAAGACGGATCTTAAACTGATAGAAATCTTCAAATAGCTATGTGACACATTTCGCCTTTATCAGGTCAGAGAAGAACGATAGATTTAGATATCAACTGTTCCCTCGATTGAACACACCCGGAGGTTGAGGATGAGATCTTGACACATGACGTGGAGACATTACGAGTTCCATTCACACATCTTAGTTCCAAAGCCGAGACAGAGTGATCAAGAGCGTTTCTTAGGAGAAAGATCAATAGGTCCAACACGGATGAACGCAAATGTTGAATCCTACTTGTCAGCTTTCTTCCGAAGCCAATGACATGCAAGTCGAGTCTTTTCCAACTTTTTCCACCTCCTCTATCCAAATTTGACCCTTCCCCAATGCTCAAGTATTCTGAGGAGGTATAGAGAAAGACACTCAAGGAAACTGGTTACTATCTGTGTCCGGGTAATGGGATCGTCTAGGAAGCTTGACCGGGTAGACTGGAAGTTCACGAGAAGAATAAAGGTATGAACTTACGGGATGCCAGAAACCTGACATTGCAGCCCACCATGCTGCGGCCGTTGCGAGCATACCAAATACTCCTGTAAATCAGCACAAAATCTAACCCGCCGACTTGTGGTCTGTCGGAGGAAGTATGAGACTTCTATATCGCGCGGATCGGTTGTCTTTTTCGACAGGAAAGGAGGTTGTAGGGTTTGTAAATGTTACGTTGATCGGATATCTTATACAACAGTAGATATTGGAAACAAACATGAATAATGCAAGGTGGGCTTTTGAGGGTAGAAGAAATGGAAGGAATGACTCACCTCCTGCAATCCGAGCTCCGTCCAGTGCTAACAATGTCAGCTTGGATACACTCGTTTTCCAGTTGAACGAGCTGGTTCACTCCCTGTTATAGAGGTCGAACTAAAGAAAAAAAAAAGGTTCTTCTTGGGTAGAGATAGGAGGTGGTGGGAAAGAGGTCTGGTACGTACCGTAGAAATAGTATATACCCAAAGTCAGGTACGTCTGAATATCAGCTTTACTCCGAAACCAACCCATTCTCCGGTGCATCGCTGAGAGGTATTCCATAATGAAGATTTGATCGTCATTTATCTCTAGGTATACCCGAATACGATGATTTAGGATGAGAGAAGTCTCAAGAACTGACCAGACCAGTAAATACCAAAGTGAGTAGGACAGCCAAAGATGACCTAAGTGCACCGAGGATGAAGAGAATGGTGACCCTTAAGAAATCAGCACTCCATTTTTCCCGACAGACATACTGTATCACTCGACAATCCTCACCCTTCCGGAATTATTTGACCTTGTCCTTCAGGGAGAGTGAGGTGGTCAGATAGTTTGTCTACATTGTCGATCTGAACTGTCTGTATAGGAGGAGAGGGATGTGAGAGGAATGCAATATAGGAATATGAGTGGAATAGAGAAAACCAACTCACATCATCCACGCCATCATATACAAACCCACAGCTTGGTTGAACTCAGGTTTCATAGTCCCATCAGCATTCTGATAAGCTTGAATGACTCCGAATGCTGCAAGGTCAGCTTTGTACGGTGATGGATGTTCTGTAACCTGAAGAGGTGGACAGACTGACCAGGGAGGTAGATAGCTCCGTATGTTAGGTTAAACGCTCCGTAACTTCCAAACTTATATTAGTTCCCTATACGTATGTATTGTCTCATAGTTTGCTCACTATGGTAGCCCTGATATCAGCTCTATATTCTTAACAACAGTACGAAATGCGTCCTCGAAAGTTTTGAACGAGGGATGTCATTCACTTCAAGGTAAGAAGTGTAGAAAGGCAATGGGGGTTGGAGCCGAAGATGTGAGATGAACTCACGAGAATGTATTTCCGAGGAACATTTCCCACCATCCGCATAACCTTCTCATCAGTCTTGAGCAAGACCAGAGTGAGAAGTAACACATACGTTTGGGTGATTCCGCCATACAAGACTGACTTTAGCTTCTCTCTCCACAGGCAGTATACGAGGGTAAATCCCTGACACTCACTGACGATACTTCGAGTCAGCATGATACCAATTCACTGGGGAAGATGTGACTTACGGAACGACCATATTAGGAATATGTACTTGTCTCGCTATCTCCTCAGCTCAACTTTTCACAAACAGACACAAAGGCTAGACTCACTGTATAGAGTCAAAGCCGAAGCGAGGAAAAAACCACAACCGAAACTTGTCAATCCGATCGGTACGGGATTCCCATATTTCCTCTGTAGTCATGAGCCTTAAGTCTTTCTTACCTTCCCTTTATATCTCACATAGACATCACAACACACACCATTTAAAAATCACGGGGAAGACTCACATGAGAAAGAGGCATAGAAGGTTGTGAAAAATCGGCGGGATGACCACCGGGAGTTATCACCCTTGCCAACCTTGGTTGAGCTTTTTCAACATCTTCGTTGGAACCGTTTTGTGACATGTTTCCTTTGGTGATTTCTTCGATTCCAGTTCAAGTTCCGACTGTCTGTATATATAATGGTCAGGATTGATGATTCTGTTTGATAATACTGTAAAGAATCAAACTAAACGCCCACACTTGTCAGAAGTAAGCGTACTCTACTGAGTAAACGTCAAAGTAGGGACACCATCAACCTGTTTTACATCAAAGTTCGTAGACGACCAAAAGTTAAAGGAGTTCCGTGCGTCGGATTACGGAGTCAAAACAACATCAATTTGTAAAACGATGATGGATTACGACCCGCCACGAAACACCCACAGGTATTGATCGCTGACGGATTGTCCATTTCACATGTGATATCATAATGGGAACTTTGAAGGAATCGTTTTGACCGTCTGATGCTTGTTGGAATTGACTTATCCGGTTAACAGGAATGTTAGAGTACCGAATATGAGTGCTCCTGTGGAAAGGTGTTGAGAATGTGCCTGTAGGTGATGAGTTGACAAGATTGACTCTGGAAGTAATTATGCTGAAGATTGCCGGACGTCCGTTAAAACAATCGTTAGATGCGATCAAGAAACTTGGACTTGACTCCTCCGGATGAGCACAGCCTTTCTTATACCGATCCCGGTTAGATCAGGTGGTGGAGGGCGGAGGTAAGATCAGGAATGACTAAGACGGGGCCCCTGGATAGGATAGTGGACATGAAGGTGGAGTGTTGCACTTCGTGAGGGTCCTTCTCGTCAGTTCTGCGCCCGATCTATTGGAGGTTGCGGATCAGGATGTGGTTCTGTTCCCCCCGAGGACTATCGAGTGAGGAGATGTCGTGAGCTTTTTCAACAGCCTTTCCCTATCCCTAGGGTAGCGTCGGGGCGATTCTCTTGAGGTCAAACTTCTCCCGATTCCGTTATCGTTCTCCCCTCTTTCTACGACATATGGTATGGTGTGATAAAGTTGAAACGTATTGTGGAACACAACTTACACACAAAGAAATATTATACAACCTCATGCAGGCCATAAACGTCATCGCGACCCCTCTCAACCCTTGGCATGATGACAGTGTTTTAATTAGGAAACCTCGGTCAAGCTATGTAAGTGCCCGGTACAACCTGGAGGGACCGGTCTACACTAGGCGCCTCCACGATGTGTAGTCGTACATTAGTAAGTCTGAAATGCATCTGTCGGAACCTCAACAACGTGTAGACCGACGCTGATGTGGAAGGAAGCCTCGTGTTGAGGTTTGTATATATGTAACTTTCTCGAAACGTCGGCTCAAATGTGGTTTCTTCATTCAATTTCCTATCTTCCACAGAGGTATTCTTCTTGACTAGAATCGGAAGTTGAGGCCGTCAATTAAGACCTACTAGCTAGATTCGATATCGACCGAGAACCCTTCGACTCTGTCCTTCGGACTCAACGTCGGCGTGCTTTCTTCACCTTGCACCTCGATCAGAATGCCTAACAAGACCAAATCTTCCAAGCCAGGTAAACCTGTTTTGGTTATTCGGAACTTTGTTACTCGCTTCAAGAATCGTCGATCTAGTCGTTCTGTGGGTAATGAGAAACCTACACCTACGATACCAGAAATCAACTGCGATGTAGCGATACCTCTTCATGTCGACGAGGAATCACCACTACCAGCAATACCGAATATGGATATGACATTTTCTGATAAACCACCCTTACCTCCTTTTCCACCAGATATCATACGTCGTATCGCCGAAGAACTTTTACGACAAAATTGTCGAGCATCACTCTCTTCCTTCTCCTTGGCGTCCAACGATATCTTCCTGTTTATTTCCCCGATACTCTACAGAAACATTATCCTCACTGACTCTCATCTTCGTAATCTCGCTTTCGTTCTTCGACACCGTTTCAATCTACCCAATCCTAGCGCTTCGAAAGAAGCCGCTGGATTACATAGACGCGTGGGAAGGATCTTATGGAATTATCGATGGTTAGAAAGTCTTCATGTCCCACCCACCACTTCGCAAAAAACTCTTGACCTTCTCAATGCAATGTGGAAAAAAGGTATCGATTTTCTTTGTCCGCAATTGAAAAGTATCGCCTTTATCCAACCTGAAAGCTACAGTGGAAAATTATGGGTTGATATATTATTACCACCTCTCGCAATCACCAGAGCGTTGACAAGAGGTCGAAAGGTCGACTATATGTGTCTTCATCTTCGTAAACCTCCATTCGGCGGACTTTCTGCCGGACGGAATCGAGAACATGATGAAAGGGCAGAATGGCCATCATGGGATGTGAACGATGACTGTAGGTTATTACAACATACTGTTGATGTCAACAAAAGTTGTTCGGTTCATTATTCCTACTATACTCGTCAACTTGACGTGTCGAATTCTATCTGGAGACATCGATTTATCATTTGGGATGATCCAGCTTATGGAGAACAATTGAAAATTCCTCAATGTTTCGATAACATGTACGAACATTGGCAAGAAATCCAAAAGTTGAAGGACGAAGATCGACATTTAATCACTTTTGTCGATGATACTGGTCAACCAGCTGATAAGTGGGTTGAATTTGAAGATTCTATGAAAGAAGAATTAAGGTTCAATTTCGAATGGTGGATGACAGATCGACGAGTGAGTAAGAAATACGCTAAAACTCTGGATGTCAAGCCGAATAGGTTTGAAGATTTATTACCTTTGATTCATTTCGAGAGAGGGATAAAGGAAGTTTGTGAAGGTTGTGGTTGTATGATTGATCCAAAAGTAAGTTCTGTCTACCATTCTAATGTTGAAAGACCGAGGTTGACGGGTAGACACCTGTGCGTCAGAGAAGGATGATTTATGAGGCGGCTTGGAGATTTCCTCGAAGCAGTGATACCTTGACCGAAGTTTCGATGCCAATGGGACAATGAGATGACGGATGAGTTTGATACGAACATTGAAGCAAACATCAGTTTTCGTGAATTTAGTAAAACCATGCAGTCTACTTGTTCCACCTAAGTTGTTTAGCTGCTGCATGCTGCAACTTACCTCGTGACCCTTACACCCCTCCAGGAACCGGAGAAAAAGACATTGGATTGCATGGGCGGGCCGGTTAGGGAGTTGGGTGAGCGACGCATCAGATTCCACAATGCGGGCCATCCAACCTTCCGACATCTGTCAGAGAAGAAAGATGAGGGGAGTAGGGGAACGAAGAGAGGAAGGAGAATTGTTTCACTCACATCACGAGGAGGATCGGGGTTTGAGGTCAGAGTTTGATCAAGTACACGGCCTTCATTGTTCTCGTAGGCAGGGAAGGGGAGGGGGACAGTCGAGGATGTGGGGTACACATTCATCAATCAATCCAATCAACCAAGGCATCATAAAGTAAGTCTTACGTTCTCAAGCTTGACTTCATTCCTCTCACCTCAGTGTCTATCTATTCTTTGCTCGACACTTGGTGAGCATTTATAGTACTTACATAAAACTCACTTGCTAACATCCAGCAACCCATCGACACAATGAAATCCTCATCCATTTCTGGTAATATCCTGTCTTTACCCCATGAAGTCATATTCCGTATCGCCGAGCTCATCTCCGACAACCACGACGATTGGTACCTCCAAGAGTTCAGTCTCTTATCCAAAGAGATATTCCGTCTCGTATCTCCCTTGATATATCAACGTCAAACCGTTCAAATGGACAATTCTCTGATCATGGCTTTGACCGGGTTTTTCTTCGACCCCAAGTGTTCACCCGTTTCCGAATTCTATCCCTTCGACCCTGATAGATTGGTCCGTCCTCCATTCACATCTCAAGAGATAGGAAGTTCAATCTTAGTTCGAACAGCTTGGAAATGTCAATGGACTAAACATGTTGTGGTGTCAGCTGATAACGTCATTCAACTAGGTGGTTTCGCCAGGAGACTGAGACGATCAAAGATCTTTCTCTTTCCTCGACTTCAACGTCTGGTTCTACAAGAAAGCGCAAACAAGAATAGTCGTCTGACGTCCATTATCGAAACTCTGGTGCCGGGAGATCAAGTTGATCATCTATGTCTTCATGCCAAATTATCTGAATTCAAACGTTTCACCCCCTACGTGAGAAAAACTTTGACTATACATCCTTGCCGTCAACCAATGGACCCGGATGAGTCAGATGGCGAGGTAGATCGGGACAGAGATATGGGAACTTTGAAGATTGATGTTCAACTCAACAAGTGGTTTTTAGGGGTAGAAGATTTCGAATCAGACTTGAATAAAGAACAAGAAGCGATTTTAAATCATCTATTCTGGGAATGGTACGAGCCTGAGGATCCCGATGTTAGAACACCCAAGCTACATATCTCTGCGCTGGAAAGCGACCCTTGGGACGGAGAAGATTGGGCTAGGAAAGCAACTGTTGAAATCAGTCGGAAGGAGAGGTATGATTTTAAATGGGAAGCGATCAAAGTCTATGTGGAATATGATAGTCTTAGTGAAGATGGAGTCTCTTGTAAGGCATGTTTTCAAGGCCTGTCATTGGATCGCCGGAACATGTATGGAAATGGTTCGTGGGATATGTTCTTAGACGATGAACCTCCTTATCACTACGGCGACGATGAATTGGTCGAGTCACGGTGGGAATATGACACGTATCGCTACGACAGATATTGGTATCGATAAACCTTCCTTCACACTCAGTCAGACCTCTTCTAACTACCCTGGACCTTTCCAGACCCTCCTTATGGTGATAATCCCATCGTAACTCCTCTCCGATTACCGGTCGAGATCATCGTCTTCAATCATCCCCTCTGTTCCTCTCCTGTTTCAGTTTCCCATCCCAAATCGTAAGTTCCTTCCTCTGTACCAATCCCTTGACTGCTACCTACGTACAATGATCCTCTATTGTAGGTTCCTAGCAGCTGACCCCCAGATCATGAGTTGTCACCATGGAGCAACGAACGCAAGCGAAGAAGGGCGTATCCGGGAGCATCCTTTCCTCTGCTGCATAGGTACATTCATGTAAGGTCAGGGATGTCTGGGCCGACAGGTGAGCAAGACACGGAGATCATGTCAATCGATCTACCGACGCTCTCGGTGTAGTCAAGTTTCAATCATCAGGGAAGCAACTTATATGAAACGACTGCCCTTCATCTCGCCAGGGATGGGTATAGAAAAACTTTTCGAGCGGTCACTTTGTTCTCTCTCGCCACCTCTGCCTCGGTCGACTATCTCGTAAGCCTGACTGTGGAAAGACTTTGTATGCTGACTGTACAGTATCAATTCGCATCCACAAGATGATCTGGACGTGGATAAGCCCCCTGCTCGCATCCTCGAGCCAGTCGACTCTCCCTGCAGAATTGATTTTCAAGATCGCTCAACTTCTCCACGACCGTGCCCTTTATCGTACTCTTCTAAAGCTCAGTCTCGCATCCAAAGAGACATACTGCATCGTCAATCCGGTGCTCCATCAGCAACACACTCTGTACGTGGACAGTCTAGTTGTCAACCATTTGTCCGATTCCTTCTCTGATTACTTCCCCGATCCCTACCTCTCAAGCTTCACAAAGGTCAAACGCCTCCCAAGGGATTTTTGGGCCCCACTGTCCGTCGCAAGTCACCGACGTACCCGAACGTTGTGGCTATGTCAATTCGCTGAGTCCGTCATGATCAAGGACGTTGATCTTCTTCGCCTTCCGGATATCTCCCAGAAGCTTACGACCATTAACATGGCTTTCTTCCCTCGGCTTCAACATCTCGCTATCAAGACGCAGAAGAAAACCAATTTCATACGCAAATCGGTGTTACAGACCATATTGCCACGCGGGAGCATCGAACACTTATGTGTGACACATCCACGCAAGTCTCGGTTGAAATGGGATATCGACGGGTATTTGCCGTATGCGACAAATACTTTGAACTTTCACTCGCCTGACTACGACACCGAGAATGTGTTGAGGATTGATGTGAAGCAGAACATCTGGTATCTGCGTATTGCCCATCAAGTCTCGTTCAATCGAATATCAAATGAAAGCATCACGCTCTCATACCTTTTCCGACAATGGGCCAAGATGAAAAGCTGTAACATCGCTCAAAAACCTCATCTTGTACTTGCTGTAGGCGGTGATGCGAAGAACGGCTACTCCGGAGGCCGTGTATGGATTCTTCACATTCTTGAAACATTTAATCGGAAAGCACGAGATGACCCAGCGACGGAGATGCTGTCTTGGGATGATCTGAACTCCCTCATTGAATTGCAAACGGTCACCCCTCATTGTGATTTCCATCCGTGCTATAAGCAAGGGCAACTCTCGAGACGGCGGAAACTTCTGATCCGGTTTCCCGATGACGATAGTTCGTCCTCTTCAAGCTACTAGAATATTAACCCTTGTCACTCGGCAGGCATCTTTTGACCATCGTAAGTGCTACTTCAATGAATGGGGAGTACCTAATTAGCGAGGTGACGTCAGAAGACCAATATCAGACAACGGGACGGGACATGATAGACACTATGTCCCTCACTTTGGGGATCATTGGCTGGATGTTGAATTTGACTGGTGAAGAGCAAGAAGTTGGAGGTTCCCGAGGATGCTATGAATGCAAACAACTATCATATCTCTCATCCACGTCCAAACTGCATGACTCCTCCACTAACTCACCCTTTCTTTAGCCCTTGGCGTTGTGCATCATTCTCACCGCCTTTGTGAGAGTATAGTAACAGGTGAGTACGATCCCTTGTACCACCTCCTAATGGCTGATGACGACAGCTCTCACTCGTGAATGAAGCAATTCAGGCATCACCCCTTGAACCCTCAGAAGTATCGAGCTCCAATTGTCACGACTATTCATTACCTCGAGGTCCTGGTATTTTGGTCCCCTCGACCCTCGACCCTTGCCTGTGTCTTGTTTAAGTTAGGGTCTTTCGAGTCAGCGACCACCGGATCTCGAGTTCTTGTGTTTCGTAATGAAACAGGTGCGGAGATGGAGCGTATGGTTCGTGAACCCTTCCAGGGAGAACAGTTTCCCAAAAGTATTAAACCTCGTTGCTCTTTTCTCATTCTCACATATTTCTCTTCTCGACAATCTCGTAAGCCTACCATCCGAACATTTCATGGGCTAATCATTTAGATTCAAATCACTCGTGCACGATATCCAAAATGGACGACTCTCCCACAATTTCAAGCAAACTCATCCTTCCTCCTGACATACTTTACGAAATTGCTCAAATTCTCATAGAGCATGAAGCCCGTCGGACCCTTCTCAGTCTTTGTCTCACCTCAAAAAGGATGTACTGCCTCACCACCCAAATACTATTTGGTCATACAACCGTGAAACTGGACCGAGACATGGTATGCCATCTACTGCAATTTCTCTTCGATTACTTCTCTGGTCCCCACTCGACAAACTGCACGACCGTGGAGGATCGTTCGCGTCGGGATATCTGGGCTCCAGAATTCATTACAAGGGACGGACATACCCGGACGGCGTGGAAATGTCAATGGGTGAATCACTTATGGATTCTCGACGTCGATCTTCTTTGCCTCCCGGAAATCTCGGGACGGTTTGCGTCCCTTGGCAATGCTCTCTTTCCTCGCCTCAATTACTTAAATCTGGTGACGGATAGAGATAGCGACTACATCGTCAGCTCGGCATTGAAGATCGTAGCACCAAGCGGAAGTATCAGAAGTATCAGCATAATTCGCCCACGAGGATCCCGGTCAGAGTGGGATGTCGACGGACTTTGGCCCTTTGTGAAGGAAGGTTTGTACTTTCAATCGATGGAGCGCAAGACTGAACGAATCCTTATGGTCGATCAGGATATTTGGCGCATCTTCAGCGACCGCTTCTCTTACGATCGAAACTCCAATGAATACCGAACTCTGTTAAACCTACTCCGCAAATGGTCTACAATGAAAAATAGCAATGTTGCAATGACACCCCACCTGGTTGTTAACGTCCGTAGGAGTAAATTGAATGGCCAACTTGTGGGAAACGCAGGTCAGCAGTGGGTCCTTCACGCACTAGCCCAACTGGGCCCTGGAACGGAGGATCTCAAGGAGTTGTCTTGGAGTGACGTGGAGCCCCTCATACAATTCAAACTTGTCCACTCATACGTCTGCATACTGTGCGGCGCATGTGGCGTATCGGCACTATTCAAACATCAGAGTGGTCTTTGCCACTGGTGCGTGGCTGATCACCTTGCGAAGGAATTTTAAACTCGAGTACAATACAAGTCCATCACATTTTTTCCCCTTGGGTTGCCTCCCTTTTCGTTTTGCTAGTCAGAGAACAGAGGATGGAGAAATTCGAGTAGACAAGGAATGCAATCATGTTCTGTTTTACCGCTCACGTCCGAACAGGATAGTTTGCGATACTTACTAAACCTCTTCTCCGACGGCTGACGATTGTGGACATCGTCCGCCCGTCTCTCAACAACTTACTGGTGAGTCCGATTTATCGTATGACGGGCCAATGGCTGACAATGACAGCTGAATAGCTGTGTAATTTTGTTCTGTATGGATGGTAACATCGATGCCCCTGGGGCGATGGCACTGATGTCGCATGTCTTCCCTTCACCGATTCCACGTGCCAATACCTCATGTCTTGACACGAGGCGGCATTTGAGGCTTCTGATCATTTCTGATTTCGCTTCTCAGATTACATTTCAATCTTCTCTGGACACCCCGAGCGTATTCGATCTTTTTGGTGGAGACCCTGGGACGCGACTCACTCGCACTCGGTCACACTCAAAAGCCTCGTAAGTCATTCTTGTGGATCTCATATTCTTGCAAGGTGTGTAGCTGACATACCAGTGATTTACGAGATCCATACACATCATGTCCAACTCCTCGTTATCACCGTCACCGTCCACTCCTAAACTCCCTTCGGAGCTACTCTTCAAAATCGCCCAAATACTCGCCAGACTTCAATCACTGAAAACCCTTTTCAACCTCGCCGTCTCATCCAAGACCTTTTACCATATACTCTCCCCCGTACTCTATCGAGAAGCCCTCCTCGCGTTGGATGATAATACCGTGAATACGCTCTACGACTTCTATCTTCGTCACGAATTTCACTTCTCTTTCTGCAACGCACCGAATAATTCCTACTTATCAACTATCAATTGGGATCCAAACTATCTTGCCATTTCAAAATCAGCACGATTAGCTTGGCGTTGTCAATGGACTCAAACCGTCCGTATACGGACCTCACCTCACATCCTGCAATCTTACCTCATGACGAATATCGCTCGGACACTTTCGAAAGTGGAATCATATCTGTTTCCTCGTTTAACGAAAATATCTCTTCGAAGATCGGCTTCACGTAAATCGGCAACATTGCTTCGTCTGCTTGCTTTGAGAAGTGAGATCGACCATCTCCTGCTATTCCTCGGTTCTTCCCACCTCGACATTCATTTCCCATGGTTCAGGGATTATCTGGCCTTACATAATCCTGTTCATATCGACCGTATGGTTGTCCGAGTCGACATCAAGAAGAACAAGTGGTATTTCTACGCAGTAAAGCTGTCACGCGCCACTGGGGACCACCGAGACGTTTCGAAAGATGACTTCGAAAGATACTTTGACGCGAACAAGTCTGATCGGGATACGCTTCCACGATTTCACATTCTTTCCTCTCCTCCGAAAGATAAGAGACGATCCACTGTCGCATCTCTCAATCACTACTTGAAGGAAAACACCAATGAGGCTGGAAACTTTGCGAAGATCTTGACTTTAGGGTCGGTTGATTTAGATCCCTGCATAGTTTTTGACCCAGACAAGCAAAAAGCAATTATTTGCCGGAAAATTAGAATTGTCAAGAAGGAAGTTGGGCAGTGAAATGCACATACTGTCGTGACCGGGTAGCGAGCCCGCGATCATAAACCGTCCTAAAAGGCTCAATGTCAACTCTGCTAGTGAGAGTTGATCTCGCTATAAATACTGCCCGTGACAATGCCAATTCTTCTGCACAGATCGAGCGGATATTGATGATCTCCGGGGGGGGTGATGAAGCATCTGAAACGAGGAGAACAAGGAGTAGGAATGAGTATGGAACAAAAGAGCTCACATGTAGATAATTGCAGATGGTCTAGTTGACATGGATGACAAATGTGAACCTTTAGACCAATAACGGAAAGGACCACGAGGAAGGTGTAAGACCATAAGATCGAGCTTGAGAAACACCCGAGGTCTGAAGAGTGGATGACGAGGCTCGGTGTCAGCGAAACAAGTTGCATACAGTACAGTCGTTAGTTAATCAGTCTCACATCAGGAAATCAAATTGGATGATATAAGGATGCATCTGAATCTCTAGCAGCCTATGAACAGTTGATATCTCCTCCTGGGACTCTGTTGACACAAGGGAAGACAGAAATTGACTGCAAACATCATCAAGTGTAAAAAAAAACCCTCAGTAAGCTAGCGCCCCGGACACACATCAGCACAGAAAACCAACAGACAGCACAGAGATTCTGTTGTAGTGTATCGAACACACCCAACAGTTGGAGGGCAGGTGCAGCACTCATCTACATATTCTGTCCTTGCCACACGAGGGGGGTACGGGGGGTATGAGTTATTACTTGTAGGATTTGGGATCATCATGTCTAGGGTACGTGCATATGGGTCCGGCACTCCTGCAGCAGGCATGGATACTCGGGGAGAATTTGAGTCATGGTCATCCGTCCTTAAATGCAGCCCTGTCTCATTTGGTCCTGGTCTGCCGTTCCCCGTCACTGTACTTGTAAGGCTTGCCCGGGTCGGGCCACTGTTAAACGCACTGTCAGCGCCCCACAGAGCTTTATGGACTGCGATGGCGCCCGGAGGTTGGATCGAGTCCAATGGGGATGAAGAGGACTGTAATTGATCACCCTCGATCGGTCATCATTGGGAGCAGTCGTGATTCTAGTGGGGTCATGGTCTGTATATGCTGGGGGATTATCATCAGGATCCCCCTGAAGTATCATGATCAGACTGCGGCTTGATGGAGGGAACGGGAAGTCTTATGAGAGGCGAAGCAACAAGAAGATACAAGTGGTATAGTGTTTTATACAGCCCATTCACCCGTCCAAACCAAAAATTTCCCACGGGACACAGCCTCAATCCTAACACTCTTCAACCGAAGGGAGACGGTACAACTTTCCTTTCATGACCACCGCTTCTTCGTCTTCTCAACCTCCACCAGCGGGCCAGATTGATCGCAAGACGTGAGAAGATAGGTCGATTTCCCCACCATAACGATGAAAGGAGATGTGGGAAATGATTTTGGCGTTCGTCCGTGCGAGTCGCCGTCGGACCATCGCCACGATCGAGCAAGTCGCTTGAAGTCTCGGATCTTGCGACCCTCGGAGGTCGAATTGTCTCCTCGGTGTTGGTCGTTCTTGTACCCTAAGGATCTAATAGGTATGAAGAGGGATCTGGAGAGCCCTGAATGGGTTGATACGAGTGGTTGTTATTGTGGTTGTTCTCTAATGATCCTTTGCCGGTAACATAGCGACCCCTTTAGTCTAACGGTTCCGGGAAAGGTGTGTGCGGGGAAATCGTCCCTCGGAGCCCGTGACAATTTGGTAGTACCGCAAAAGTCGGATAATCGGATACCGGTCAATGAATGATTGGATGATGACTGTCTAGTCAGTCATCACCCATATTGACTATGCAAGATCGGTGATGTCACCTCCCCACTCTTCACCATGCCTGCGAGTGCGAATCAATCCTCGGTCAGTGAGCAGTACGAGTAGAGTGGAGTGACAAACGTGTCTTCGTACCCACGTTCTTTTTCACTTTCGCACCTTCATGGGATTAACTCCTCTCATCTCCAGCTCCATGCTCACAGTATAAAGTTGCAGCTCCACCTCATCGTCATTGTCGTTTGTCCATGCTCCGAACAAGTTATGGTACTGGTGACACAATTTGCATTCCACCCCCAACTCGGGGACAGGTCCCATCACGTGATCTCTTGTCTCTGCGCCCGTCCCTGAGATCGGTGCCTTGAAGATCTCCGCCCTCGCACGAACGTGGTCGATCGTCGTATGGAGTAATGTCATTATGAATAACGTGTTTGATCATATTTCATCGACTCCACAACTACGTCAGATACACAGAACACTCTTGTATCTTGTTTAAAAACGTCCATCGCGTACCCCAACAACATTCAAAACATCCAGGTAGAAGTATCGGACACGTCGTTTTTCAAGCTCTGTTCTACGTTGCTTGTGAGCGATACGAACAGCCTAGACATTTAGTATCTGGCCACTGGAATCGGTCACACGACCACACGTCAGCGGCGTCGTTAAGGAGATTCACAGTATTCAAGGGTGGAGAAGGGAACACCGCGGAAATGTCATTTCCCAACGACTTTCCATCTGTGGCCAATACACCCATCGTCGCTGCTCATAACCAACCTGTCCCACCGGCATTGTCATTGGAGCCAGAGAAGACGGATGGAGGTCTGGCACAGGGGAAATTCACAGATGATCATCCATTGTTTCATGAACTCGCCCCGGAGGATTCGTTCGAGAAGGGAGTGTATTGGGTGGGTACTTTCTTCATCTTTCCATGTCCACGACATAGTGAAAGGTCGGACAGAGTAGCATTGGGAGGGAGTCTAATGGACACTGGATTGAAGGGATGGCCACTGATACATATCGCAGGCAGATCTTCCTTTCGCACAACGTCATAAATGGGTCAACACTCAATCAAACGCTGAAGCTAAACGCGAGGTGAAACATGTTTGGTCAATGTTTAAAGAAGATCCATTATCACCTATCAGAGCATATTCTAGACGTTATGTCATCGGAGGCTTTGGGTTGTTCACCGAGGGATATACGTGAGTCTCCATCTTTCGCTTTTTCTTCCCCATACTTCATCACTCTTTGTCTCTACTTCACTTCTTTCTCTTCCTTACTCACGCTGTCTCCCACCCCGTCCCCCTAACCCCCTATCCCCTACAACCCCATCCTAAGCTCTGCTTTATTCAGTTGCTGCTGCCTCTCACATCTGTCACTCCGTCTCAGACTTGATGATGCTCTCCAAGTATAGATATTTCCAGAGACGCTGACTCTCAGCCTCTTCTCAATAGGAAATCTCACCGCTCTGTATTCCGCCGTTTGGCCAACATGTTGGAAAACATACAAAGTTTGCAATTCCAACACCGTAGCAGCTGTCACATACCTTCAGATCATCGGTATAATAATCGGACAGATCGCAGTGGGTTTCGAAGGTGATTGGATAGGTAGGAGATTTGGTTTAGTTCAAGATGCTTTGATTATGACTCGTAAGTCGAGCTCATCTTCTCAAACCCTTCACTCCACCACTACCATTCTCCTCATTGTCTCATCCTTCGAACTTCTCTTTCTCTTAGCCTCGAGGACATCTTCTGACCTATGCGTACTACATCTCTGTGAAACTCCTTTGACATATCTGAATCGTCAACTTTGATCTGAGTGACTGCCCCTATACGTACATCCATGGGACGATGTCAAAGTATGATGAAAGACATCTAGACTTGACTAACTTTCAGTCGGTCTTGTCATGCTCACTGCCTCATGGGGTACCTCCCTAGAAGGTTGGGTAGTATGTTACGGTGTATCTCAATTGGTTTATGGGATAGGTGTAGGAGGTGAATATCCAATGACTTCAACTACAGCTATGGAGAGCAAATCCGTTGCTGGTAGTCAGACGGATGATAAGTTACATAGAGGTAGGAATGTCGTGTTGGCTTTTCTTATGCAAGGTGAGTGGAGAGGTCACCCTCGCTTATGTCTTTCATCCCTTCTACCCCATTACTACACTTCGTTTATGTCACCACCAACGTTCTCCCATATTTCTTGCTACTCCTATTTGCACTCCATCCCTACTCCAATCCTCTATAACCCCCTTTTGACTTTGATCGACATTCCCATTCTGCCGCAGTCACTGGTACTTTGACCAGTGTCTCTGACTGTGTGGTCCGAGTGTTGGGATGGGATATATTTTATGTTCCGTTCGTATAGTCTAAAATGGGTCATAGTGTTCGGGAACGTGAAGCTGAAACTTAGGTTGGGGTCAACTATTCAACCAAGGTCTCTTGATCGTTCTTTTACTCATCTTCCACGGTCGGGGAGGTCCTCCTTATGGTACCGTATCGACTCAATGGACGTTTAGAATTTCTTTCGCCATTATGGCGGTCATGACTCTTTGGCTAGGTCAGTCATCTCAAAGACATCCTTGTCCTCGTCCTCATCCTCCCACTCCACTTCACTCCACTCCACTCCACTCCACTTTCATCCGTCTCGAGAAGTTACCACAATCTCTCATTATACACCAGTGGCATGGAACATTTTACATCCGAGTGTGAAGAGGATTTAGCTGACAGCTTAGCCTACTATCGATACTACAAAAAAGTTTATTCCTCCCACGCCCTTCTCCGATCCAAGAAGAACGCTCGTGTGAATCAATCAGGCTACGACGTCCATTCCCTCAAATTAGTCTTCTCACATTTTTCAGGTCGACTAGTAGGGACTACCATGGGTTGGTTCTGTAACGATTTCTTATTCTACGGAAACAAGTTATTCGCAAGTAGTTTCATCAAGATTATTTCTCCTGATTCGGCCGACGACGTGGTGACCAGTTGGTTATGGAACCTTCTTAACGTGGGTGTAGAAGTGAGTCAATATTTTCATTATGAAGTATTCTGGATATTGATGAATAGATGTTAGGATATTATCTTGCAGCTTTAATGATCGACCATAAGTTTTACGGTAGAAAACGAATGCAAAGCACTGGTTTTTTGGCGGACGCTATTTTGTTTCTCATACCTGCTAGTCAGTCCTTTTGGTTGCAAAGAAAAAGGCGGGTGAAGGCTGACATGGTAGTTTGGTATAATCAATTACAAACGAAGACACATGTGAAAGGATTTCAAGCTATTTACTTTTTGTCAAGTTTCTTCCAACAATTTGGACCCAAGTGAGTTTTCCGCTTTTTGCGCATTTGAACTCCCCTTCTACGTCTACCAGAGCGCACTCCTGATATGTCTCCCCTCCCGAGCGGCGCAGCGATTTCCAATCTTCACTACAGCCCATATATCATACGATTCACTACAAACAGTAAATTCTGATAGTTGAGCATAACTGACAATCCAGCTGCACAACCTTCCTCCTCGCCGCTGAAGTGTTCCCCATCTCCGTCCGAGCCACAGCCCACGGTCTTTCCGCAGCATCCGGCAAAGTCGGCGCTCTAGTCCCTGCAATCGTATACAACTACGTCGATTCCCGAGCCCGATTTTGGATAGTATGTTGGTTCGGTTTTGCAGGTTGGATCCTAACTCAATTATTCATCCCCGATACTACAGGATTGGATTTACGTGAACAAGATCGTTATTGGGAATACGTTCGTGAAGGTCGAGCTAAAGATTATCATGGTATCGCAGTTCATCCGAGACATTTGAGTTGGTATGAACGTTTGATTTTGAAACGTCATTTAGCATATGATATAGAATGGGATAGAAGAGAAAGGGTAAAAGAGATGAGGTTGGCTTGGGAAGCTAAACAAGCTATCAAAATAGAAGAGAATCCAGGAAGGAATTTAGATGATGATGATGATGACGATGATGATGAGTTTAGTCCAAAGACGATGGGTTATTTTAATCGTAAGTTGATTAAAACAATCTCTCATCTCTTCTCTCTTCTTTCCATCCACACATCAAACACTCTGTTCTATCCTTCAATGTGATGATTCTGAAAACGTTGGATCGTATTCATCATATCTTCTGTCATACAATTGATTAGTCCACTACAAGATATCTAGTACAGATTCATCTCTACAATCACGATGCTCGTTTTTCAGATGACCATGGATATGAAATGCTAAAAATAAGATTACTGACGAGCAGACGAAAAGAAGATGGCTCGTGCAAAAGTAGCTAATGGTGAAACTGCCAATGGAGAAGGACCACCGTATAAATCCCGTCTATCAGAATTAGAACAAAGAGAATAACAATAAACTTTGAATCATTAGAAATAATCATAGGATTAATGTAAGCATGTATGAGGTGTTACAAGACTTTAAACGTGGTCAGTAAAGTGAAGTACTCTTACTATACGTGCGATATGCATATAACCGTTGACTCTATCTCCAGCTGTGTACCACCACACCCATCCCCTCATCGAGTTATTCGAGAAATATGCTTCTAGAGAGAGACCTTGGACTCCCAGGAGCTATAACATCAATCAACTCAAGCCCTGTCAATGACTGGAAGGACTATGACCAGGATCCGTCATACCTCCGCACGCCTCACATACGCATTCACCAAGACAGGAACAAGATGCAATCACGCCTACTACATTGTTGAGTACTGTCCCAATGACATGGCAAACGCTGCACAGACAAGTTCGCGTACGAACGGATTGCTCTTCCCGCGGAGGATCGTCAGTAGTAGAGGCGAATCTTACAGTCTTATCCGGAAGTGGATGCCTGGATGAATCGTCTCCGTCTCCATCAGGAATTGGAACCTCTTGAATACTACCTGAACAAACTGCTTGAGATGGGGAGTCAGTGAAGGTGGGTTGACTTGTGATATGTTCAGAAGGAGTCGTCCCGTTGTCACGATTTGTTGGGGCGTTTTCGGTAAGCTGGATCGATTGTTGAGATACTGACATGATCATCGATCACAAGAAGATTGAGAGAGAAGAAATGCGGTGAGGGGTTTGATATGATTGAGTCTTTGACGTACGTCGAGGGAAGGATACGGCTACGGGCGGAGATCGGAGATCGGAGTTCGTCGGAGATCGGGGTACGAACGAAGGAAGAAGGAGCGTAATCAAGGAGAGAAAAGGAGGAAGTGAGGGAGTTTGAAGTTAATTTTGCCACTGCAATCAAGTAAGTACACAGCAAATTGATTGAAGATTCGGGGTTGATATTCAAGAATTTGATATTGACCAGAAGCGGTGGGAAGAAACGGTACTTCTTAGCGGACGGAGATTGAAAATTGGTGATCGAATGAGAAAACACTGTACATCAATGGAGAGGGAAGATAGGAAGAAATATTGCTACGTCGTAGAGAACACTTGGTTGGGGGAAAAGTTTGAGGATTCGCTTTGATTCAAGAGATCAAACTATCTTGCACAATGCGTCCGAAGTTTCATGAGCTATCACGGTGCTCACACGGAAGGCTGAAACAAGTCCGCACGGACGAAAGTCTAGTGAGACAATTAATCATTTCAAAGATAGATATTCCATGCATAACTACAAAGTTTCTTTCCTTAGGATTGACACCATCTTCATCTTGAGTAACATACTGGGATGACTTGTCAATCTAAGAAAGACTATATATCTCGTCGTATATCTAACAGAAACAACTACCATTACAGCAAGTCGTACACGATGGCGTCACCGCTTCTACAAACTGACCTCCGCAAGCAGGGCAACGACGGGAACCTTCTGTGCAACCACAAAGTTGAGCGATTTCAGCCATTGACTGCCCAAAGTTGCTGGATCGGGTTGTCTGTTCCGACTGGTCAACCGAGAACCCGCTGGCGGGACTATGGTGTGTGGAAGGAACAGCCTTTGGTGGATAGGCAGCCTTTTGATTACTGGTTGAATTTGCATTGTTCACATTGCGGCTGCCCTGCCAATGAAAGGCTTCTGCCATAGGGACTGCTGCTGTGGAAGTACAAGGAGGAGCTCCCTGTGCAGGGTCGCTGCTTCTTTTGCTTGCAATTTCTTGTACGGTTGAAGGACACTGGTTGGACGGATTTTCGGCTGACAGGTTTGCGGCTGACAGGTTTGAGGCTGACAGGTTTGAGGCTGAGCCCCTTGTCACTGCATCTTCTGTCATCTTGATCACCTGAGTTGTTCAATACCAGTGGTGAGAAAGACGCAGATAGTCAATTACAGGAGTGAAGGAAGAGGTTAAGAAAGTAAACCTCTCTCTTCATTTTCTGTCTCATATATGGCTCATTTCCCGCGCCGCTTGGACAGGGCTTCGTCGCGATTGAAAGGCCGACCCGGCGGCCGGCGGGGTATCAATCTTAGCACGACCTGGTCAACAAGAAGATTAGAGCCGCGAGATCATGTTCATCATCAGTCAGAAGTCTTACAGTGGGGTGCAGGAAAGGATAGGACAAAAAAGTGCACGATTTGGCTGGTGAAATTGGTTGTGTCACTTTGACTCCTTACCACATATACAGAACTGCATGCATGCATCTCATATCCCTCATATCTGTAGCTCCGACCTTTCTCTATCCATTCATGCTTTCATCAAAACAATTGAATTTGTGAAGTGGAGCTACAGAGCATCTGGAAGTTGGTGAAGATTTCCTCAAAAAGGGGTCTCCCCAGCCAAAATGCTGACAACCCCTCCTTGTTCTCTGTCCCATAACTCTCTACTTTTTTAATACATCATCCTCAAGAACATGGTCTACGTACCCTCCATGGATACATCTACAAGTCACATTAATAGACCATGGCATCATCTGATGCATGTACAGAGCTGTTTGCACCCAAAGAGAGGGTACCAAAGGCGGGGGTGAGAGGAGTTAGAAGGTGTGTGGGAGAATCATTCCTGTTTCCTCAATCCAGCATCTATTGAGCTATCTTTTTGTCTATGGATAACCTTTCCTATGGATCTGTGTAGTACCAAGTTCTCACGACGATTCATGCATGAGTTATTGATGATCAAAGAGAAAGACATGCAAACGCGCGGATTCGACGCGTGTCCGATCCTTTCCCGCACCCCACTGTAGCATCAAGTTGTCTGTTTGTTGTACGTACTTCTTCATAGACTCAGATTTCCTACAGTCAACGCCTAAAAATGCACACCTTTGGTGGTTTGTATCTCATCACTGGACAACTCAAGTGCCATGGGGGAAGTTTGTGTCTAATAAGAATGTGTGGTAATGACAAGACAATTTAAACCTGCAAGAAGTGGACAAATATCCTGCGAGTTCACCAAATGAAAGTCAACTAAGAAGGTTCTTAACGTGGAAGAATTTATTTGTGTATTCAGAGATCTTGGTGGTGTGTAGGACACCCACCATGTAACACAATGTCAGCAATGGGAACACGTTAACTGTTGTCAACAGCCACAAATTTGCTATGGTAGTCTGTGAGTTTGCCAGCTTGCCCCTTCACTGCTTTGAACTTATCTTCCAATGTTGCAACCAACATCATTGCAAACTTCCTCATTATCAAAATCATGACATCTTCTACTACCCAAAAACTCTCAAGAGCTCCTCCTGCCAATGTTGGTCATTGGAACAGAAGCGTCATGAGCCGTCGTGACATAGAAGTTGAGCTGTCATGAATCACAAGTATCAGTTTCCTCATGTTTCAATTCTGCTCTGATGCCTTTGTGTCACGAACTACATCGTAACATCCCTGACAACCACCATCACCGACCTTCCTTTCACCATCACCAACCACCACTCGAACCACTGAGACCGACTACGACGAAGTTACGAGAACCAAGAGGGTATTTGTCAAGATAACCCCGCCTAGCGGAGAACTACGGCGAAGTTAGGAGAAGGGGACCGAGGGAGAGCAGAACAGGGGAAGTTAGGCGAAGTTAAGCGAGGTGAGCGGAGTAGGACATCGGGGATATGGCGAGGTACGGCAAAGTTGAGCAAAGAGGACTGAGCGCGAGGCTGTGCAGGAGTTGAGGGATGTTCTATGAGAAGAGAGGGGAAGCAAAGATAGTTTACAGATCGCTTGTCACGGGCGGGGTCTAATCCCCAAGGGGTAAGCACGGTGACTGAGATTGGGCTGTAACCCAATACGTGTCTCGGGCTTGTCGAGCTTGAGGAGTATACAGAGGGTGACAAGGGACTGAGGGTACTGAGGGAACTGAGAGAACTGCAAAATTTCAGGCTGGATCTGACTGGACTGACAAGTTGAGAATGAGATTCAACATGAGTTTCATAGGTGGGGAACAACCTGTTTGGAGGGGGTTTATATCCACAGCAAAACAGGCTGAACTGCAAAACTACAACAATAAGCTACGGAAGAACTGCTGAACATATTTGCAATTCTCTGCAAGAGAATTGGCAATCCTGACCAGTGAAACTAAGAACAAGAGGCAAAGGACCCAGGGGTCCAGGGGTAACTGTTCCAGGTTCATGGGTGCGACAAGGAACGATAGACAGAGGACACAGGAGTCCAGGGGTAAGTTGTAACGGTACTGGAAACACGATGACTAAGTCGCAGGTTGGTTCGAAGTCGATGGAACTCTCGTGGAAGTCTATGTATCTCTGGTGCTAATGGGTCGTGTCTCCTCTGCAATCGATGTAGCCAAAGAATGATATTGAAGAATCAGCAAAGTTGGTACTTTGCTGATTGTACTATATACTGTCTACAGGTATCCGTGTCCTCCTCTCAGTTCCTACTGCAAGCGTCTATGTACATACTCGGACAGGTGAAAAACCGCTTTTGAGCAAACCCAGTGGGGAAATCTCAAAAAGGGAAAACCCAATCCTATCTACTGCAGTACTGCCTCCAAACCCCGCTCTTCTCCATCCTAATCCGTCGAACTCGATGGAGTTCTCTCGATTCGTTGTTACTCCGTAACAAGTTTTCCCCCCCTGTCTCAAGGATCCTCGCCGAGGATCCTGAATCCTGTAACCAAGTGATTCACATGGATTGTTCTGAGACACCTTTGGCGCGCCCTGACGTCACACCTATGCTAGTGCGACGGTTGCCATGAAACGCGCCACCCGCACGGACCTCCAATGTGATCGAGAAATTACTGACCAAGTCTCTTTCCCACCTCTCTCTCTTCTTTCCTCCTCATTCCTTCTTTTCCTCTTGTTCGTCGTTCTTTTTACTTATCTATCATTATCCATTCATATCTTACTTATATCTTAGAGTATCATTCCAACTCTGACCTGTCTGTGAGCATGTCTAAGCGTACTGTAAGCAATTCCTTTCGAATTCGATGTATATCCTCCTATTTCTCACTGGCTGACGAGATTAGTTGTCCTCTTCTATCTCTTCTCGTCAAACTCGGGCCTCTACTGCGGCCATTCTTCCCAACGTCGATCCCGAACTCCTCATGCGTCATACGAAAAGGATGAGGATCTCCTCTCAAGCTCCAGCCCCTTCTCAACCTCCATTGGTTGATGCTTCTCGTAGGGCTCTAGACACCATTAAGGATCGATATCAATCCGGTCCTCCTCGCACTCAACAATCGCCTCCCCTCGATGACGCGATCATGGAGCAATTCCTCGACTTCGAAGGTGGGGCAGGGCCATCTGCCACTGGTGAGAACCCATCTCCCGTCAAGTCCGTCGAATCCGAACACGGTACCATCGTCGAGAATCAAAATTCTCCTGGTAATAAGTCCCCTGTGCCACCTTCTGACTATTCTGAGGGGCTTGTCGAGGTTCCCCATGAACTCGAAACCATTTTTCACGCCCCTCGCAAGGGTCCGGTCAATGATGAACTTGCTAAGGCTCTGGACGCTCGAAAAGACTCGGAAATTGGTGAGAATCCTATAGAATTCTGTGCGTTTCTGACTCGTCAGCTACTCTCTGGGCCCGCCTTTCTTTCTCCTCTGTTCGTCACGCTCTGTGTCACGGCCGTCGAGCAACTACTTCCTAATAGACCGACGGTCGACGAACCTCGGCTAACTTCACGCTCTGAGTCGATGTCTCACCCAACCAGGAGGGCGCAAACGTCGAAAGGAGTGTAACTACGGCGTACTTCGGCGTAGTTACTCTAACTAGGGTTTTGTTCTACTGATGGCGATGTATCTCGATTTATAGCTATCTCTATCTGTCTTTTACTACTGACAACAATCAAGGATCGCTGAAGAACTTCAGCGATCTTCTCAGCTAATATGACCTATCCCTCCTAGACGTTCATCCAACCCTCCCGCGCTTTGACGTACTTCAACGCACTTCGTCCAACTTCCCGAACCCCGGCCATCCTCCTCCTCCTTCGACTAACTCCGCCTAATATCGCCGCACTTCTGCTCCCATTGTCCCTACCTAGCCTAACTCCGCCTAACTTCGCCGCACTTGGTCTCAGAGGTCCTGAGTTACGTGTAGAGTAAAAAGGTTTGAGTCGTGATGGGGTTTTGATGGTCAAAGGAGGGTCGTTGTTGGTGGAATAATCGAGGTGTCACGACATAGTTCGTGACACTCTGAAGGATGAAGCCCTCGATCGCTTTCGCGAGACTGGCGCCATCAAGCCCACTGTTAAGTGGTTTGGTAACGCCGTGAGCCCTTTCTCCTTAGTATTCCACCGAGTTCTAACTGTTAGCTTGATCGCTTGGCCCAAGGTTGGCAACTTCGTAACAAGAATGGTGCTGTTGTCCGTCTCGAGGGTGAGCTTTGCTCCGATTGCCAGCGTCGTCTCGATGGTGGAGAAGATTTTCGTGTAGGTTGTATTGGTCCTCGTGAGTCTTCCTACTCTACCTGTTCGAGATTGATGCAACTTAGTTGGTGGTGTTTGTGGAGAGTGCTCCGCGAAGGGAACTTCAAAGTGTTCGGTGAAAACCAACAATCCCGAGTCCAAATTTCGCGAGGTATCTATCTTCTTCCTTCGAACTTGGTCGATGTTGATGTAAAGGGTATTACTGTCGGAGCCCAGACTGTCACTTCCAAGGTTACCTTCGTCCTGGAGCACGAACTCTGTGCTGTCTCGGCCCGATATCGATCCCTTTCCTCCCAGGATCAATCCTCTTCCCTTACTCAACTCTCCGCTTACATCCATCTTTTCTCTTCTCTTCTCCTTCCTCTTCCCCCAGTACATTTGGGTCTTTACAAATCCCTCCATCTCATTCCTTCCGACTATGTTCCTCCTTCTCCCTCTGAAACCTTGGATCATCTCACCTCCGCTGGTGATCCTACTGGATTGAGTTCCTCTCAGCCAGTCGCCGGTCCCTCCTCTTCTCCCAAAACTCCTCTCCCCCGCAATGTCATTCGTATCCCTGCTTCGGCCCGTCGTCCTCGAGCCAATTCTATTGCCTCCAACTTTTAGCGTGTCTATATCTCTCTAATTGTAGCTATATTTCCTGTGTATGCACTTATTTCCACTAAGTTCCGTTGATCTTGATCGAGTTCTCACTTTCTTCTGGGGTCTTTTTTCCTCTTTTCCAGAAATTCACCAAAAACGGCCAACTCTTCTACATTTTCTCGTGGTTCCCAGTCATAGGCCGCATTCCCTGTGTATCCTAACCATTTCACCTTGAATTCCTCTTTTCCTCGTCGAATTCTGCTGTCCACAATTGCTTCCACATGGAATTCCTCCTGGCCGTTTATTACTACAGGTGGTGGGGGTTGTATCTGTCGACCTGGTATCATGTCCTTAGGATATGGTTCCAACAGCGTCACATTGAAGACATTGTGCACCTTCATTGATGGAGGTAGATCCAATTCGAAAGCATTTTTTCCAACCTTCCTTATGATTTTAAACGGGCCAATGTATTTTGCTTCTAATTTTCGACTGGGTCGTTCCGTCGTAAGATACTTTGTACTCAGTAGTACCTGTTCTCCCTCTCTGAATTCTTCTGGGATGCTTTTGTGCCTCCTGTTGTAGTATTCCCCACTAATCTCATTAGCCATTCTGACCTGTTCTTGAACAGCCGTATGTAATTCTCCCATATCTCTCCATTTCTTCTCTAACTTGTTTGACTTCGATCGAATATCGTGCGAATGGATGTCGTAGTGGGGCACATAGCCATAACATGCTTCAAACGGACACAACCCATGACTGCTATGTGGAGAGCAGTTACAAGCAAACTCAGCAATTGGTAGAAGTTGATCCCAATTGTCCATGTTGTAGTTTACATACATTCCAAGTAGGATTTCCATCTGTTGGTTCACTCGTTCAGTCTGGCCGTCTGTTTGAGGATGATATGCAGTTGAATATAGGTTCTTTATTCCCAGGAATTGACATATTTCCTTCCAAACCTCTGCTGTAAACTGGGTTCCCCTGTCTGATACGATTGTTCGAGGTACTCCATGCTTTGAAAAGATCTCCTTGATGTATATGTCAGCCACCTTGTTTGCTGTTAGTCCGGTTGTACATGGAATAAATCGAGCCATCCTGCTTAATCGATCCACTATCACTAGAATTGCGTCGAATTCAGTCGATTTCGGCAAAGGCCCTACCATGTCCATCGAGATATCTGTCCACGGGAGTGTGGGCACTGGCAATGAGACTAGATGTCCGTATGGTTGATGTCGATGAGTCTTATGTCGGTTACAGATCTCACATCCTTTTACGTATTTCGCGATATAATCGTCCAAATGGGGCCAATAATAGTCCTCTTTGATCATAGTGATGGTTTTGTCTCTTCCTGGGTGTCATACTAATATCGAATCGTGTCTTGCTCTCATTACTTCTAACCTTGCTTGTCCCTCTGGTATGACTACTCTATTCTTATACAAGAGCAATCCGCTTTGTGTCCATGATACCACTGGTGTCTCGTTGCTAATCTGTGTCTTCTGTGTGTCCTGTGTGCTATGTGTCTGTGTGTCCTGTGTGCTATGTGTCTGTGTGTCCTGTGTGCTATGTGTCTGTGTCAATTGTAGTCCTAGTTGTCGTATGTTTGCTAAGTCTTCTGAGTCTTTGAGTCCGTTTTTGATGAGTCCAAATAATGAGTCTTCCCGGATTGCTCCTCTTACTATGTGTCTGGCTGCTGAGTCCATCGAATTCAATCCATGTTTCTCGTATGTTGGTAGCAATTGTAGCCAGTTTCCTTTGTTTAGGTCTGGGTCCTTACTACTCCCTTTTCCCGGGTGATAATCCCCTCGTCTTGTTAAAGCATCTGCTCCCCCATTTTTGCTACCTGGTCGATAAGTGATCTCTATGTTGAAATCTCCTAATATTTCCAGCCACCTCATTTGTCTTCGATTCAGTTGTCGCTTACTTTGGAAGTACTCCAGGTTCTTGTGATCCGTAATGACCTTTATGACATCACTACTGTTAGCCAAGTATGGTCTCCATGCTACCAAGCAGTCCACAATGGCTAGTAGTTCCTTTTCTCCCACTGTGTAGTTCAATTCGCAGGTGTCATTGCCCGAGACCAATACGCAACCGGATGGAGCTCTGTGGTACCTTTTATCGATGGATGAGCGAATCTTTGAGACGCTATCGCACCTATTGCACAGTCAGATCCATCGGTTTCGATCCAGGTTGGTCGGGTTCTGTCGAAATGTCGAAGCACCGGTGCTGTGGTGAAGGTTTTCTTTAAGTCGTCAAAAGCCTTTTGACACTCCTCTGTCCAGTTCCAAGCCTGATCCTTCCTGGTTAGACGGGTAAGAGGACCCACAATATGCGAGAATCCCTTGATGAATCGTCGATAGAAATTGGCAAATCCTAGAAAAACTTGAGTATCTCGGACTGTCATGGGTTCTCCCCATTCTAGAATGGCTTTCACCTTTTCTTGATCCATTTCAATTCGTTCGTGTCCGATTACATACCCCAAGAACTTTACTTCGTCACAACTCCATTCACACTTCCTTGGACTGACGACCAAGTCGTTTTCAAGTAATCGGTCTAATACCTTTTGGACGATTATCTGAAGGTTTTCGATCGTGTCTGAGTATACCGTGATGTCGTCTATATAAACTACCACTCCTTCATCTAACAGATCGTGAAACATGTCTTGCAAAAAGTTTTGGAAGGTGGCCGGGGCATTGCACAACCCATCTCTTAGAACAGTGCTTTCAAAACTACCATATCTCGTTCGTAAAGCGGCTTTTTGTTCATCTCCTTCCTTTATCCTGACTAGTTGACAGGCCCCCTTCAGATCGAGTTTGGTAAAGATCCGTCCCAATTGAAGTCGATCGAGTAACGTCGAGATAAGTGGCATTGGGTACGAATCCTTGACTGTTACCTTATTAAGTGCCCGGTAATCTGTTACCACTCGATAGGGAATGACTCCCTTCTTGGGGACCAGGAAGACTGGAGACCCATACGGTGATTTACTTCTTCGCAGGTGTCCACTAGCTAGCCCATCATTGATCCGCTGCTTTAGGAAAGCATCCCCATGTTCATCCAGCTGGTAGATTGGTCCTGGTTTCAGTTCAGCCCCTGGTGTTAATTCGATCTCGTGGTCACATTCTCTTCTTGGTGGTAGTTTTCGTGCTCTTTCTACCTTGAATAGTTCTAGATACTGGTGCCATTGTGTCGGTATGACTTGTCGTAGTTCCTCCTTGCTCATTTCATCTTCCCCTTTCTCTAGTGCCGTTCCTCTTACCAATCCTTCTTCTAGTTTTGGATATTTCCAACCAGTATCTCGTCCAATTCCGTCGAATTCGATCAGTCCCTTTCCACAATCGATCCTTGCCCTAAACTGTCTCAAAAAATCTAGTCCTACTAGTACTTCTGGTCCTTCGTATGCCATAACATCCAGTCGAGTTGCAATCCTGAGTCCTTTTCCCAGATCTAATTCTGCTTCTACATATTCGGTTACTAATGTCGCGGTGGTTCCATCCAGGAACCTAATTTTTCATGGTACCTGATATTGTTTCTTTGGGAATAGATGGTATAATGGACAGGCCGGCTGCACGTACCTTCCTGTAGCCCCGGTATCGATTAACATTCCAATCTGTAGGGTATCTTTCTTTGTTTGTATTTTTATATATGTT